AGGTCTTGAAAACTGGACTAATTGTGAAGTGGCCCCTTTCAAAATTCACAATTCGCCAAGTCCCCCTTTTTTCTCCATAAAACAATTTTCCTCGTGGTACAGTGGCCAGCCTGAGACGCTGCAAATGGCTACATTTATGCTTGAAATCACCAGCCATTACACATAACACAGGGAAACCCCCTACCATTTTTCATTTTCTCATACTGTACCATGCGATTGATTTCTGAATTTTGTACTCAACTGAAGTCATTAGACCTTGTTATTTGTGAGTCCTGTCTAGTTTTGGGCAAGTCTGTTTTTTTTCTTGGTTGATGCTGAGCTTTTGTGCAAAGATTATGATCTTTTGTGAAAAACAAGGACAGTCTTGTAGGTTATCTGCTTCACTGAAACCACATCTGCCTTATAAGACCACAGAAATGGATCAACAGGGTGCGAATGAAGAATAACTTCTAACTGAATGTCAATTGCATAAAGATGAAAAATTCAGACTGTACAATTGTGGAGCTATATACAGTTTCCACCTTATTGTTATGCAGGTCACAACTTATACATGTAGTTCTGTTACCATTTGTTACATGTGGAATGGGGTGAAGCTAGTTGTGTGCAGGCTGTTCTGCATTCAGCAGGAAGTCAAATCTTTAAATTTACTTCAACTGTAAATCACCAGTCTGTTTCATTTGCTGTCTGTGTTCTCAGTCCTGCAGGTGTGTCAGTGATAGAGCACTGGTGTGTGAACCAGACCACTAAAAAATGCCTTTAAAAACAAAAATAATAGCTATTCAAATAGGCACAGGGCACATGATTCAACCAACACTGTATTTTAAATTTTGTAAAAAATGTTTTTCCTTACCAAGTACCACTCGACCTCACGAAGAGCCCTCTTGTCATTTATTACCAAAGTCAAATAAAACTGAACTGATAGCGTTAACTTACAGTAAATGACCTGTGCTATAATCGTCCGATTAACACCTCAGCACATTTTCTTTCCGTTTGATAACAGTACAATTCCTGAAATGTTTCCCGAGTTGATTTGTGTTATGGGTCGATCTTCACAAAGCAAACACCTTAGCAATGAACATTTACTTGTGGTGACTATGAAATAACATAATAAATTAAATATGATAAGAAATAATAATATAAAATTATCGGTGGCCAACAAAAAAAACAAAGTACTGCATATGGTCTTGACCTGTTGTGATTGTCTTTTAATATTGACTAAGTCTTTAAAGAGCCTATACGAAAGGTAAAATCTTTTTGTATAAATCACAAAGGGTTTTGTATAAATCAAATAGGTTTATTTGCAGTATTGTAAGTGTATATTTTAAGACATTGGTAAAAGTAAACAGGGCAGCATTACTTATTTGTTAGTTTCATTAGTGGGTGCTTGTAATATGAATGCTTCAACACTGACAGTAGGAAACACCCTGACCTTCTCTATATTGCACACAAATGTTTTCAAGTTGAGTAGATTTAGAAATTAAATATGGAACCAGTTTCTTTGACAAAGATGATGACCATCATTATAATTCTTAAAATACATGACTGTGTGTGTTATTTTATTCATATCTTTCAAATCTTTGAAACTTCAAAGGCTGACAGTCCAATAATTTGCAGCCTGTTGGAATTGAGCCACATCTTTTAACATTGCAACTGATTGATGTTGTCCATTGAATATATTGTTGTAGATTGAAGTTGCCTATTTAAATCACAATAATAAAGCATTTATTTACACGAGTGGACATTTACTGGTACTTCACACACCAAAACATCAATTTGATTGTCTCAGGGTGTTTCCTAACTTTCCAGTGTTTAGAATTTCTGAGACCCAACTTGCTTAAAGTAACAGTGTAATTGGATCTTACATTGAGTTTCTGAGCAAGAAGAAAGTTTTTCTTTGTTTAAACATGCCTGACTTCCTTATTACTCTCTACTCCCATAGCTGAGTTATAAGATGATTTGTATCTAATTTGTATCAGGACATGTGAACTTTGCACTGATGTAGTTGTAATATGTTTGGAAATGGTTTCTTTTATCTTGCAAAAATCTATTTTTAGCCATTTTGTAGAAAGTTTAAAAACGTTCTGTTTGAACACTATACAGTAATGTTGCATCATTTTTTCTTATGAAGAAAATAATGCACAGTGTCATTTATTCAGTATGTTAGGTTAAAGGCAGGTTCATTGTTTCTTTTTGAATTTTTATCTTCTTTAATGTTCTTTATCAAAAAGAATTATCAATTGGAATGACAGAAAAGAAACATATGTGGTTGTATATCATAAATCAGAAGGGAATGTACAGTCATAGGAATATACAGTAATGCTTATATCAGTAGTCTTTAATAATGTATAATCTGCCTTTCTTAACACCTTTCTGGTGATAATGTATTAAAATGAGAAAAAATATCTTTATCAAAATAACCTGATCTCATGTGTAACCTTTCTTTAGAATAATAATACATAAATGTAACTTTCTCATACTTTATTTTGCACACAAATATTGTTCTAGAATCTTGGTAAATACAGTAAATTGGTCTTAAGAATGATGTAGGTTTTAAGAAAAGAATACTGTAGGTAACTTGTTTAGAAGAAGCCACAATACACAACCCATTAGTTTAGTGAATTTTATTTATGTAATTATTCAGTAATGCATTCTCATTGATATGAATGACAGTTTATAAGATACTTCATTCAATTAAGAGCAAATGCCTAGAAGGATCAGATGCAATATAAATCTGTCCATACCTATTGCATCCTTTTAACATAATTAAAATGAGTAAACAAAGCAAGATAATTGAACAATAACTTTTGAATGTTCCAATCAAGGGGGGATATTGCATGTAGGTCCTTGTTAAACAATTGCAACAAGTTGAAATGTTAACAGCAAGTGTTAATAATCCAGTCCAGTGAAGTGAACTCTCTCAGTATGCTGCATAATCACACCTAGAGTCAATCTTATATTAGCTGACCTTTCCTTCTATATCTTCCTCATTTTTGTTTCTAAGCATAGTGTCATTAACTCTGTATTAGCATTTCATCTTAGATTTCTGAGTCTAATTTTTACATTACTTTCTTCTGGTTTAAAGGCAATTTTAAAATCCCATCCTGTCCAAAACTGTCCTGGTGAACAGTATCATATCATAAACCCTAAACGAGGTTCACAGTGCAGCTTTTCACTACAGACTGGATAAATCCATTTACTGTATCTCACACGGTTAGCCTTTCAAGCTACAGATTTAAACATTTTGGAAGCCGCCATCACAATTTTTACTCATTTTGCAGAAAACAAATTATTGACAAATCAGATGCTCAGGTTCTTTGAGAATCTCTCCAAAATATGTGAAAACTTTCCCTCAGTATTGGAGTAGTGGTACCATCATTTATAATGTCTGCAGTTCAGTCAAATTCTGATTCCGAACGAGATGGGACAACACAAGGAGACATTTTCCCACTTGGCTGAGGAAATGGCCACAATTGGAATGAGCCAAAGAGTCTGCTACAAGGGTGAAGATGGAGTGGAGGCAGGGGTGCTAGAGACCATGTGAGTAAAGGGGACGCGGCACCTAAGTGGAAGTGCACAATAATTTAACAGCGAACAAATTAATAAGCAGAGAGATGCTTTCTTTTTTCGTTGGATCTATAATCCAATGAGTAATGAAATGCTCGAAGGTCTGTGGATCCAACTGAACATTAAATGGTGTTGTTGAAAAGACTTGCATGTGGAGGTCAAATTGTAGTCTTGTACTACCGCTTCTCTGCGCGTAAATGCTTCCTGAGTGACTACGGCGCAACGCAGATCTTTCTAGCTTCCCTCCCGCCACCCCAACATCAGTATTGCAGCAGGTCTCCCTGCATTATTCCTCATAACTAAAGGAGGGGAATGTGATTTCTGACCAGGGCTTGTCCTCAGCGAGGCGAAGTTCAAGTCAAAGTATCAAGTGCGCTAGTGTAGCGGAGCTAGTTCGGATACGGTGACGTCACCGCCCTACCTGCGCGCCGCAGGGAGCTCGGCTGCCTGGCCTGAGGGAGGTCGCCTCAGGCTGGTTCCCTGTTGCATCACGCCGGAGACCCGGGTTCGCGCCCCAGCTGTTGTGGGATGAAACGGGTGGCGACGATCACACTAGCTCTTAATTCATCACCTCGTTATTAGAATTTGGCCAAACTGAAATAGCGCTCCTCCGTATTAGGCGGCGGTTTTTACTGCATCATGGTGGATTAGTTTCTAATTCAAGCAAAGCCTTTCTTGTGAGATGAGTAACAGCGGCGCTGGAACACTTTCAAATAAAGTAACTTTCCTCTCCTTTTAAGAACACTCCAGAGCCAGAATTGTCATATGTACCACCAACACGAGTATAAATCCCCACCCGAAACAGAACAGCTTTCTTTGTTTCGCGTGTTTATAGTTTATAGTTTTAACAATGAAAATTAAGCACATTAATCAGTATATTAAGCAAGCCTTTTAAGTAGCAATCCCAGAGAATAAGTAACATACTTAGTGTGTTGATCCATCTTAATGTATTTATTACTTTGATCATTTGAAAGTAATATACAGTAAATGAAAGAAACAAATGGCAGTTTTTTTTTTCCTTAGAAACTATATGCACATTGATTGTAGATTTTTACATTTACACTTTAAAAATGATCAATTCAGATCTTGTTACTGTTTTGGAGTATATTCCTTGCTCTTTGTAAAATAACAATAATATAATATTATGCAATAATAATGATCTATATTCAGTAGCACTTAGCCCAGCATTTGAGTGAGTGACAGGCACACTAACACTTGGCCTGTTTACACAATATTATAAAGGGAAAAGTGTATTTTGCCTTTTAAACTAAGGTTTAAAAAGCTTTCTTACTTTCATTAATTTTAATCTGCCAGAAAAAAATCAGAGTTACACACAAAACAGCATTTCTCCCATGCCACAATCCACTTCACCAACTGATTTTGGTTTTAATACTTTAATAGTATTTTTAATATTTTATGTTTTCTTTTCTTCATAGAAAATATGGGATGTAAAAAATCCAAGCTGACAGGCCCGGAGACTGGTGGTGGACTTGTGAAGAAAAACCAATCAGTACGTACTGAACGAACTATATATGTGAGAGATCCAACCTCCAATAAACAACATGCGATAGTAAGTAGTGAGTTATACTGGGGAGTGAATTATCCCCTCCAACAGTTTTGTAGTTAGGAAGATAATCTTCACTAACTCTGAACAGCACCTGTTTGAAAAGTCTAATTGCATGAGCTGGATTTCATTGTGAGAAAATGACTTCTGCATATTAATGATCTGCATGATGATGAAGTTCTTTAAACTATTCCGTTTTCTTTCCTTCCATGTTAGCCTGGTGTCTTTTTTGTCTTTTCTTAACTTCTGGGTCGTCATACATACATTGAGTTTATCTAAAAATGTTTGTTTACAGTAACTCTATACTCACACTTATGCTGTCTTTGAATCTTTTCTATTTGAAGTCTTGTCTTTGTGCGGTTTGTATGTTCTCTCTGTGCTCCGATTTCCCCCATAGTCTTAAAACATACTTGCAGGTTAATTGGCTTATGTGAAAATTGGCTCTGGAGTAAGTGGGTGCTTGTGCCTGTCTACCCTGTGATGGACTGGCGTCCCATCCAGGGTATATGCTGCCTTGCGCCCCTGGCTTGCTGGTAGGCTCCAGGTCCCCCCCAAACCTGAATTGGAAGAAGCCATAAAGATAATGGATGAATAATAAGTCTTTACTTATCATGTCCATGTGTTTGTTATAATATTTGCTGAATGATGACTGAAATTGTGTGTTAGTCAACCTCAGAACAACACTTAGGTCCCATTTGTCTGAATACTGATATACTAAATGTCACAGAGAAAATTGCATTTGGTGTTTGAAAAAATCTTGAAAAAATCATGCTATCTCATTCATGAGTTCCAGTAATAATATAGGTGAGATACTTTCCCTGAGTCTGAAAGGAAATCGCCCAGTAACCATGGAGATAATCCTGAGAATTACCCCTCTCGTGTTACTTATGGGAGATTTTGCTGATAAACCTGTTCACTGTAACTCTCAAATGATAATTATGGCTATGCAAACCATTGAAAGGGAAAGTTTTTGAATGTATAGTGAGGATTTTTAGACATAAAATACTGTATTTTCAGTAAACAAGGGTGTAACGCTCTGCATTTTTCTTCACATGTTGCTCACATATGGCAAGATATGATTTTCTATTATGGAAGCAGTCTTGCAAGCTGTCGACTAAGATACAGTTCGGATAATGCCGAAGCAGCATTTCTAGTTTGTAATGCAGGTTTCAAGTTACCAATACATTTCCACATGAAAGATAGCTGTGTAATACCCATTCACATATGAAAGATAGCAGGTCTGTGCAATACAGTGATACAGTACAGTAAGGTGGCGTGAAGAGTGCATTGTAACACTGCATCTCAACCATATTCTCAGTGGAACATGTTTTCTTATAGAATTCTTCAAACCGAGATAGTCGCCTACTGCCTGGCCAAGTATTTCAAAAACTTGAAGGTAAGGTTCTTTCTCTTGTTTACATTGGACATTGAACCACATTCAGTGAAGGAACATGAATATGCGGATCTTAAAAATATGTTTTCTCCAACAGAGCAACAGGAGACAGGGAAGATAGTGGTTGCACTGTACCCATATGAAGCTATTCATCAGGATGACTTGGGATTCAAGAAGGGAGAAAAACTTAAAGTGCTTGAGGAGTAAGTGTAGCAATTTAAATCATTGCCTTTATGTGTCAGTATGATAGTCGTACAGTATATTATAGCCATAACAATTCTTTACAGCACAGACTGAAGCAAATTGAACCTTCTTTGCTTTAAACTAATTTAACAATGTTTATGACGGAAAAAATATTTTGAAAGTACTATACTGCATTGCATTTCACTCCATAAACATTTTCCCAAACATGACTGTTGAATGATTTTGTTAAGTTAAATTTACATAGCTTTAACTCTGGAGAAGTCCAGTACAGTGTAATCTATCATTTCCACAAGTCTGGAGAACTGGATTATCACTGGTTATTTTAGCAATACAATCCTTTAATCACATAATTAGAAATATAGACCAGTCCAAGGAATAAAAATCATTTTTCATTGTTGCAAAAATTTCAATTATTATTACTTTTTAAAACTGTTTGTATTAAGTCATCATACTGTACTAACTTGAAGTTTTTTGATACATATATAAACCGTCTTCTCAATATGCAGAGTACAAACTAGAGTTCTTCCACCTAAATATACTTTAATTTGACTTGAATTAGAACTTCTCTTTTTAGATTATTATAGCACATTGTTACTGTGGTTTAAACCATTTTTGTTATTGTGCTTGCTTCCTGTGTCAAAAATGATATTCTGTTAGCCTGTACATTTGCTTTGCTGACTAAATGCTTTGCTTTAGGTCCTTGTTGAGTTTTTGAAGTACTTACTTATTGCATCAATTACAGTTATACTGTTTAGTATATGGGAAAAGCTAAATCTCAAATAACCCCAAACTATGTATTATTAACATTACTTTTAACTTGAATTTACAAGTATAATTTTGAGTGGCACAAAATTGTTTTCCTAGGGAAATTGTTTAGAGTAGAAAATACAGATGAAGACATTTAAGGAACAACAAGTCATAGTGCGACAAAACATTCACCACACACCAGCTATCAGTGGGGAGCACAGTGATGATGCCAATTCAGAGATGGAGATTATTAGGAGGCCATGATTGGTAAAGGTCAGGGGTGAATCTGGCCAGGACACCAGGGTAACACCTCTATTCTTTTTGAGAAACACTCTGGGATTTTTAATCACCACAGAGAGTCAGGACTTCAGTTTTATGTCTCATGCAAAGGACAGCGCCTTTTTACAGTATGTTGTCCCTGTCACTATACTGGGGCATTAGGACCTACACAGACCACAGGGTGAGTACCCCCTGCCCCACTAACACCTCTTCCAGCAGTAACCTTAGTTTTTCCCAGGAGATGTCATGTCCAACATGTCCATAGAGACAACCAGTGGATATAAGTTCCCAATCGCTCAGTTAGGTGCCGAATGTTTTCTCTGTAATCAGTTAGAAACTTACAGATACTAAAAGCTGACAGAGGTGGATTATATCCCAATCCTGGGACAGCAGAGAGAGAACTCTGGTAAGGCTGAAAAAAATTAACATCAGTATTGCAAACTGGGGGATATTTGCCTTCTCAAAGAGTACCATACAGTCTTCAGGGTCTTCTGATGTTTCTATCTATGCTGTTAGTTAAATAGTCATGTTTTAATATTAAACTGCTTATACTTATTTGGTCTTTGTTCATTGTTTCAGACATGGGGAATGGTGGAAGGCAAAGTCTCTCACAAGCAGGAAAGAGGGATTTATTCCCTCAAACTATGTTGCACAAGTCAACACCATGGAAACTGAGGAGTAAGTTGAGTGAAGTTGCATTTCGTATGTGGGACTCCACTTCACTGTATCCCTGGGACAGACTGGGAAAGGTTTCCTTTCCTTAAGTTGAATTTCCCCTTTTCTGAGCTTGTGCACGAGTGTTGAGGATCACTGCAGAAATTAACTTTTTTTTCTCTTTCATGTAGATGGTTCTTCAAAGAAATCACAAGAAAAGATGCTGAGAGACAGCTTCTAGCACCAGCAAATAAACTGGGATATTTTCTCATCCGAGAAAGTGAAACTTCAAAAGGTGCAAGTCTTGCAGCACACTATTTTAGGCTCACAGATTTTAGTTTTCAATTTACTCCGTCCTCTGTTCCCAGCCTTTATTGTGTTCTAAGTTTCTAAATTTTAAAATGAAGAAAGAGAGTTTCTGCATGCTGCAGATTATTTTTCAATAACACACTAGTGGCGACTGAAGAGAAGAATATTAGAAAGTTATAAACTAGAGGTGACCACTGTATGTATACAGTAGCTGCATACATTTTTACCTCACTCATTTTTTAAATAACTATCATTATGTGTTGTTTCATTTAATACAATATACTTTTATAGATTTTAAAAGTGTTGTAACCTGTTAAAAGATCTGTAAATGACAATGAAAAACCATGCTGTATTTGCCTTTAGGGAGTTACTCTCTATCAATTAGAGATATTGATGCCCAGGGTGCAGATGCAGTTAAACATTACAAGATACGGACTCTGGATAATGGAGGTTACTACATCTCTCCCAAAATTACATTCCCTGACATCACAAGCATGATAAAGCATTATCAGAGTAAGTCTTTTTTTTCTTTTCCACTTCAGATGATTAACTGAATTCCAAAACTGAATGTTTGGAATTAAATGTGTTTTACATTGCTACAGTTGGTGACATGCAAATACATCTGTTTTTTCAGAAATAGGAAACAAATGAAATAGTCTGTACACACTCTTTAAGAAGACCCCAGTTCTATAACAAGTACAATATTAAAGGGCCCTTTCTGAATTTACGTCTGCCAATTGTCCATCAGCAGACAGCACAAAGATACTCTGTAGTCTAGAATTTAAGCCACGCGATGTTATTTACTGTTGTTCACAGATTGCTTTCAAAAAGAATGCGTTGGTGAAGATAGAAGGCTATCGACAAATTGCAGTAACTGAATTTGTACAACAGATCTTCCTTTAGAGTCATTGCATCTGTTCACAATGGAAACGTTAAATCAGATTTAGTAACGTGGTAAAATGTCAAATGTTGATTGCAGGTATAGGCACTGACTCCCTTGCGACCCTATACTGGGTAACTCATTTAGAAAATAGAGTGATGTAGTATGTGTAGCTGCCATTATTGTTCCTTTATCGGAATTACTTTTGAAAGTTGCCCAAATTCTAAACTGCAGAGCGCAGTAAACTTTGCTTGCTGTTTTAGAACAAGCTGATGGCCTCTGCAGAAAGCTGGACAAGCCTTGTGTTAAACCCAAAGCACAGAAACCTTGGGATAAAGATGCCTGGGAGATCTCGAAGGAGTCTATAAAGATGGTGAAGAAACTGGGAGCAGGGCAGTTTGGGGAAGTGTGGATGGGTGAGTGTACCTCAGACATGTCTTACAATATTCAGTGTATGTGTATATTTATTTGTCTTTAAATATTTTTCATCTAACAGAAATCTATTAAACAGTCCGTAGTAAGTAAGGTTATGCTAGAAGAAGCTGAATAGTAATGTTAGCAATTCAGACAATTCAACTCAAAAGAATACGTTTGTGTCCAGTCGGAATAAAAGAATCAACATTTAAGGGCTGTCAGTATTTGCTATCCAAACGCACTGTTTAAAATAATTGAGGTCAGTATTCTTCAGTAGAATGTTTTTGAGCCTTTGACTGGGAGGAACACCTGTCAGCTAAAAAACAGGCCCTGGAACATAGTTTAATATTTTAAAACAGTGAAATACTTATTTTTTTATTCTGAATCACTTTAAAAAAAATCTGGATCACCCTCTGTTTGTAAGAAGTAACTTTCAGATTTTAAAGTATGAATCTTACTGAGACCTTCTGAGACCCTTTTTAGTCTAATGGCATCCTCCTCTTGTTTCTGAGAAACTAATATTTATGTTCATGTGTGGATTGGCAGGCCTTTTAGTTATTTGAGAAGATAAGATAATTAATTAGCTTCTGCAGAAATTTAATTGAATGTATTAACTATACAGTTATAGACTACACTTACCAATGAAAACCCCATACGAGTCAAAACCAATGACATGCATTTCATGTCTGCCCCTGCTCCTGGAGAATCTCAATCCAGCAGTTTTAATAGGTTACCCTTTAATGACCAAATCCTTGGAACAATTTAATTGTGGTCAATTGCAGACGATTTGTTAAATTAAGTAATTTATCCATCAAGATCCACGATTCAGTAAATTGAGTACATTGAGTGTTCCCAGTCTTTTGAATCATCTAGGGTGACATACAAGTCTAATTTGAATGGGGCTTCCCAGGACCAAAGTTAGAGACCTTACATGTATCAGGTCACTATGACAGGGCTCAAAACACATATTCACTTACATAAGAAAATAGAGTGTGAGTAAATGTCATTAGTATTCATGCTTTATGATCACCCATGTTGCCCATGAATTCCAGGAAGTAACCAGTTTTGCAAATATACAAATGGTTCAGGGGATTTTGAGTTCAAGATGTTTCCTCTTGTTTATTTAGTCCCCTTGACGTTAATTTCAAGTGAAATGCTTTCCTCTGCTCCGCGGTGAGGAAATCTGTGGACCGTGCAACTGCACAGTCTATTTCCTTTCTTACTTTTTCACTCAGGCTTTTTTTTTCTCTGGAAAACAAGAGACTTCACAATATAATATTCCCACCTAACTCCAAGGCCTCAAGGTGAGGTTTACACTTTAAATGTGAATGTGTGCCACTCATAAAACTAACATTCTAACGCATTTAGAAAATTATCTGCATATTATTTTTTCTAAACATATTAACCTACAGTACTTAATGTTTCTCTGAAGCAAATAACAGGTATACATTTGCTTATGTTTATATAAATGTCACTTGCACTAATTTATGTAAAAAACATGCTGTTTCAGGGGATTTGAATAAGTATCATTTTCATTGCACGATTGCTTAACAACAGAGTTCCGTTTCCAGAAAACAAATAATGGCCAGTTCTATGTTACTGACAAAGCATGTAAAGTGTGGATCATTTTCTTAGCCTGCTTCCTGTTTTACTGTGCTGTAGCCACTGAAAGACAATGTAACCCAGTTAAATCCTTAGTTGCCAAGGACTTGCTGAATAACAAAGAAGGAACTAGACAAAGCCTGTTTTTATAATGTAGTTGTGTGCTGATGGCCATAAGTAAGGGACTGGACTTTAAACAGAACTGCATGTCCATACCTGTACTGTATGCGGGCTGTGAATAGTGTAGTGGCTGAAAGTAAAGGCTAGTTGCCAGGTGATTTCTGTCTTGATACCAAGATCTTTCACTGTTGCATTTTTGTGCTCGGTCTAACACATGCAATGTATAGCAGAGATCCTGTTGCAAATAACTCTGTTGTAGCAATTGCCTCTGTGTAATCCACTCTCTGCCCCCCACCCATCCTCTGTGTGCATCTGTGTGCGACTTAGAATACATCTAATCTCAATGACATTGTTACTTTGTGAATGTAAAGGAAGCACCAACATTTTCTGTTTTTCTGCTGATTATTGTGTTATATGTTTACAAAACTGTAACTAGCACGGACCACATTTATTACAAGCTGAACCTAAGAGATGCTTTCTCTGAACTGCTTTTATTTAATCATTTTGTTCTTTTCTATTCATTGTATATATATTTTTTTATTTTTCTGTTTTAGAACAGTGTGGTCTGCTCTTAAAGGACAAGACCTTGACCTCCCCAAATGTTCTTCTTCATCGGAATTTTAATTAATTAATTAATTTGCTTCATTAGTGATTTGTTAGAACTGACTTTCTGAAGTGAGTGTTTCCCTTTCTTCTATTGTAGCCTACTACAACAACACAACAAAAGTAGCAGTGAAAACCTTAAAGCCCGGGACCATGTCGGTAGAAGCATTCCTTGAAGAAGCCAACCTCATGAAAACACTTCAGCATGACAGATTAGTCCGACTTTATGCAGTCGTCACAAAGATCGAGCCCATTTATATCATAACTGAATTCATGGCCAATGGTAAGTGATGTTGTCATAATATAGGAACAAGTAATAGGTTTATTCCATGCTGTAAAAAGAAAGAAAACACAACGTTTCGGCTGTGGAGCCTTCTTCAAGTGTCTTGAAGAAGAACATTTGAAGAAGGCTCCACAGCCGAAACGTTGCGTTTTTCCAGCATGGAATAAACCTATTACTTGTTCCTTTGCAGCCTACGCATGCTGACGCAGCTTCCCACCTTGTCATAATATATGGAAGTAATCAGTTCAATCAGAGATAGGCCTTATTAGGATTTTGTAAATGCGAATGAGAGAACGAAAATTAAAAATAAAAATGTCATTTCAGCATCATTAAGGTACTTCAATCATTGTTTTTACCTTGATTTCTTTTTTCCTAAATATACAGTACCCATTTTCTCAAGTGCTTGTTTCAATAGTACCTCAAAAAACTTCTCTATGCTGTGTAACTTAACTGCATATCCATATTCCTACCGTGTGACAGTGTAGTGGTGGTTGGTGCTGATGCCTAGCTGTGACTAGGGATTTAATTCAGCCTTGGGTTCCTGTGAAGTTTGTAGGCTCATTCCATGTGTTCTTTCAGGTTTTCTCTGGGTAATCTAGATAGTTTACACCTCCAGAAGACATGTGGAATAGACATTAGGGTTCCGTTCCTAAGCCCCATGAGAGAGGGAGCAGAGAACCTCACCTCATTACTGATCGCATATATTGATACTTTTCTATCCTCCCTTCGTATATCAAAAAGTTATTATAAACTATATAAAAGAATATATTATAAACTAAAAACAATTCTTAATATTACCACAGAACATGCTAAGATATTATAAATAAAACATGTCTCATCTTCTCTTTTTTAGCAAAAATATTGGTTACCATGATTAATTTCTTTTTCACGTGAGAGAAATCAAAATAAGATTTCTTTACTTAAAAAAAGTATCTGTGTAGTTGATTGCAAAACCATTCTGCTTGACGTGTTTTATGTGCTTTCTCTTTCAGGCAGCTTGCTAGATTTTTTAAAAAGTGAAGCTGGAAATAAAGTACAGCTACCGAAGCTCATAGATTTTTCTGCTCAGGTAAGAAATCATATTTTAGTTGTTTCTTAAAATATAGGGCACATAATATAGTAGAGCCATTTTGAACACTCTGAGTGAAATAGCCAAGAAAGTTCCTATTTTAAAAGAAGTGTTTCACAAAGAGAAGCTTGTGATGTCAGTTTTTCCATTGGTAAACCAAAAAGAGGAACATCAATTTGCACAATTGTATTTCTAGTTGTTTTATGATTCGTCCAGCCTTGTTATTACAGAATAATTGTTTGTAAAGGGGATGAAAAGTCCATTTTAAACATCGGTAGCTGAAGAGCAAATGAAATTAAAAATGGAAATATGATAAATTAGATGTATTCCTTTTTAATAAAGAAACCCTTATGCCCCAAATGGCATTACCACCTATCTGTTACGAAAATATAATTATGAAGAGTCTATACATTTTGTCAGAAAATACATGATGAAGTCAAATTCCCTGCTCCTGTTTGGTGTTGCAGAATGAAAAAATAGCAGAAATTTAAACCCAAAAGATCAATATACTGTAGTTATACCAGTGTTACAACCCTGCATTTATTTTCATAAACCTTTAGTTATGAAGATTTTAAAGCAGTTATATCTGCACCAAAATGGATTTATAGTGCACTTGTCGTTCACTTAAAGGGACCTAATTACCAGTTTCATTATAATCTTATAGGCTAGTCATAGGGAATAAATTGTAGGTGAAAATGTCCCTAGTAATTCTAGTTAGATCATAACTAATCTAGTCATTCAAGTTACTGTAGATCATACTCCACTTATAACTCAGTTTAATTTAGTTTTCATTTGGTTTTGCAACATGGAATTGCCACAGTACAGTATCTGTGGGAATTGTGGTGAGATTCAGAGCTTCCTTTCTTGCAATTAGTCAGTGGAGAGTAGTCTTTGGCTAGGATTGAGTTAATTTAGTATGCCAGTGGACGTCTGCAGATTTTGTTGCAAGGGTTCTGTCAAAGGTGTAGAGGTTGTAGTCTGTGTTTTGTCAACATCTCACATCCATTGGAAAGGGTTACTCATCACCAGCCAGAGGCAAAGGTGACTGAGGTACAGGAGAGACGGGGCAGAGGAGGGGGTTGGTAGAGCTAAGCAAGGATTATAGTGTGAACTTTAAACGGAAGACAGTAAGCTTACAGTAAGTCTTCGCACAACATACAGTAAAAGATTTGCAGCTTTTACAACAACAATAATAATAATAATAATTAATAATTGCTTACACTTATATAGCGCTTTTCTGGACACTCCACTCAAAGCGCTTTACAGGTAATGGGGACTCCCTTCCACAACCACCAATGTGCAGCATCCACCTGGATGATGCGACGGCAGCCATAGTGCGCCAGAACGCTCACCACACACCAGCTATCAGTGGGGGAGGAGAGCAGAGTAATGAAGCCAATTTATAGAGGGGGATTGTTAGGAGGCCATGATTGATAAAGGCCGATAGGGAATTTGACCAGGATGCCGGGGTACACCCCTACTCTTTTCGAGAAACACCCTGGGATTTTTAATAAGAAGATGAGCTTTTGATTTAAATTTCTGTAGGTGTGTTCTATTTTTTTCATGAGTCTACTCTGATATAGGATCTGTCTGCAGTATAACAGCAAACGTTTGGGAGGAAAGATAACAGCCAATATCAGTCAACCTCAAGTGCTCTAAACAGAAATCATTCATCCAGGGGGTTGGCCCTCAGCCAATCAGGCACAAAATGTACAAACACTTAATAAATATTCTCAATACACTAAATTATAGTGTGTTATATTACATCAGTAATGGTTCTCTTAATTATAGTGAAACCAGTATTTGTACAATATTTTTTTTTCCTTTTTTGGTCCAAAAAGGACCAGGTTTGTTTTTCTCTTTATAACACACCAACACAGTTAGTATAAAAAAGCTTGTAAATACATTTTTAATTTTAGAATCTTACAATTCATTAAATGCAGATAATAGGAGATTATGTACAATGATAAGGGGTTGTGTAAATAAACTGGACTGTTTGAGCCATTCTGCCAGACCATTATTCACTGATGAGAAACTGGTATTTGCTTTTACTCACTAAGCACATTCTACTCTGTCCAAATGCTCGTTACTTTTTTAGTCTTTAACCATTCTGTATAGCAGCTTGACTTTTGCAAAAGGAAGATCTTTTTATAGCACTAGGCTAATGAACTTTGACAGCATTTCAAAGAGTGCTACAACAACTGTCATTCGTTTTACATTTATAAAGCACTTTGCTGCAGAATTGATAAAGGTTCACTTCAAATGAGCAAACTTGTGCAGTGTCGGCTTAAATAAATAAGTACATAATGGGTAGGTACACTATTTAGAATTACAAAAACAGGAGTAAAGATTTATTCAATAATTCTGTTAATGATGTCTTAAAAATATTTTTAATGTCTGAATACTGTGTATTCAATTTACCGAAAAGCAGACCTGAAAGAGGACATGATATTTCTCATGACACATTGAAACCCAGATGAAATTTTCTTAGTGTATACAACTCCTATAATTAGAATGTCACTTCTCTTTTTTGTTGGATTTATGGTGAAATTCATTCTAAAATGTGTTTGGTGCTGTTGACCTGCAGTAAGGTTTTATTGATTATGTTTACTCTTAATCGTTAATATTTTTTCTTAAAATGCATTTCCATTTGGAATTGCAAAGTTATCAGCCCCCTTAACTAACTGTATTGGAATTGAAAGGAAATTTATTTAAGACCTTAAACGACTTCAGAGCACAGTCAGAAACAATATATACAGTATATACAATATATATCTGTTTAAGAGCTTAGATTAGAATTCACATCCAGTGATCCAGAGACAAAAACATACCCAGCGACTCACAGTACCTTCTGCTGTTATTAAAGTCACTTTCATCAGTTCTTGCAGGCCTCTTTGTGTATGTGTACAGTGCTGTAAAGTCATCAGCATTGGTCAATATTAATACCAAGTATCACCGCCTTTGGTATAATGCTCGGCGTGTCCAGGACACTGTTTCTGAATTTTATCTCCTGCTGAATCAACTTCTATTTCTCTTTACATTTTTAACTTTTAAGTTGGTGTTGTCAGTTACAGAAAGCAGCAAATCGTAGATGTTTTGTGTTTTGGGGTGGCTGATCTGTGGACATCTCCAGGGTTTGATTTATTTTTTGACAAGTCCCCTGCTACGCCAAGTGAAAAAAAGCACTTTACCCAGATGTGATCCTGGTGTTTCAAATTAACCTTTTAAATGAATTGTCAAATTCTTTGCAGTTTCAATTTTGGTATAAGAACTGTTTTGTTTTGGTTTCTTTTTTCTTTGTCTAATTGGATCAATAATGTTTTTTTGTGACCGAAAATGAAAAAAAAAACACTGCTAAAATGGGCTAGGCATTGTTGAAATTGTTGTATTATTGAGTGAGATGACTAAAGCATCCTAATGCCATGTAAATCCTGGCCTGTTTATCTTTGTCAATAGGTGAAGCAAGGAAGTTTGTTGAATTACAGCAGATATGTAAATATATGAATGCAAGAACACTCACTATGGCTTTGTTGCAGATCGCTGAAGGGATGGCATACATTGAAAAAAAGAATTATATCCACCGGGATCTCAGAGCAGCAAATGTGCTTGTTTCTGAGAGTCTGCTGTGCAAAATTGCTGACTTTGGCTTAGCACGTGTTATTGAGGATGACCAGTATACAGCAAGGGAAGGTAAGACTAAGTAGTGCAGAAACTGGTTAAAGAAGAATTTGGAATGTTCTGCAAAACATTCAGTTTTCCAGCATTAACCATAAGTATTCAAGTTATTGTAAGATGGATTTCCTATTATTAATGAGAAATTTCACTGGACAAAAAACTTTGAAGCTTTGTAATGTTTAATGTTTTCATAGTTTTATGTATATAAAGTATTAATTAGTGTTGGCAATATCGGAAATCCGGGTGGCACAGAATCCCAGTTATTAGCAATGCTGCCTCACAGTGCTTGGGCCCTCGGCTGTCTGTGTGGAGTTTGTATGTTCTCCCTGTGTTTGCGTGGGTTTCCTCCAGGTGCTCCACTTTCCTCAAAAGACATACTGGTAGATTGATTGGCTTCTTGGAAAATTAGCCCTAGTGTCAGTGAGCGTGTGTCTGTGTGTGCCCTGTGGTGGACTGGTGTCCCATGCAGGGTATACTACATAGCTAAAGCTTCCTTTTCCTGAGAACATCATTCATGAGTTCAATGAATACAGAATATATTCTGAAATATTCTTCCATTAATTCTATAATAATATAAATACTTCTTAAGAATGCTCAATCAAATACATTTAATTCAGCAATAATGACATGACATAGAACCATTTATCTAGTCCTGACCATGTCTCTGTCTAGAGTGTTTTTCTTTGATCAAGTTGCCTTTGTATTCAAATGTTCAGCAACACTGGTTACTAAGCAACTCTGAAAAAATCAATACCAAACCTTGATCACAGAATAGACTTCACGCGTCTGAATTTCACATCATCTTCTAGAGATCACGGTCTATACATGTATTTTGTGAGCTGGTGGTCATATTCTGCCCCCAGTATCTGAAACACCACAGCGACTGTCAAAAGTAAAGCCAAAAACAGATGCTTATGCAAATGATGAACACATACACTGTTTGTGCAGCTGCACGTTCTACACAATTGCAGCCCATAAAGTATCTAACCCCAGGTTTCTTTTTTCTTTGGTGTATATTTTCAGTTTCTATTGTTGTGGTTGTTTTTATTAAAGCTTCCCTTTATGTTTAATCCCGTCAAATGTTTGTGTTGCAGGCGCCAAGTTCCCAATCAAGTGGACTGCACCTGAGGCCATTAACTATGGATCATTCACTATTAAATCAGACATGTGGTCCTTTGGAATCCTCCTGTATGAAATCATCACATATGGAAAAATTCCCTATCCAGGTAATAATAATAATAACAATAATAATAATAATAGTAATAAAAATAATAATAATAATAATACTGTATATAATAGAAAATAATATAATGTCGACCAGTTTCATAAAATAATCTTTGCCACACATAGTGCAGCACACACACTCAGTAGCACAAATGTAAGGACACTCTTTATTATTATGTCTGTAATCATGTCACCTACAATATTGTGTATCATATTGTGATATGTCAATATGTCATAACAATATTAAGGATATAATGTCACCAACATGTGCAGAATTCAGAGAAACAGGCAAAATTTAATGTTGTAACAAACCCATTTAATAACAGTACTGGCTACACTTTATCCCCTTACAGGACAGAAATGATGAGCTAACCCTTTCCTAGTCACTGCGTTATTTTCAGACATTGCCATTAGGACAGCATTCATACAGTATATTGCAAAATATCCAATACAGTTAAGGGAAATTGATTATTACCAATATCTGACAAAATTGTCAAATAATTGCTCTTGCTTAGCCAGTCACTTCTTGCAAATCATTCTGTATACTGTTCAAATTATTACTCTATAATACAGTACACAATATACCAGTTCAAGGTCATCAGTGTGATCACACCCATGTTTACATATAGTGCATCAAGGACAGTGTGCAGCTGCACAGAGAGATGAGAGGTTGTCCTTGCACTTGAATTCAAGAGCTTCCTCTTTCTTTCTTTTCACCAATTAATGAACATGCCATATAAATGACACAAGACTGAGCATTTGCAATTCCATTTAGCACGGTGACAAACATTTCAGATTTACAGAGTTGAAATGTATTATTCATTTGCTCTTTTGGTGAAAGCTTGCTTTCAAAACGTTTGACAACAGTCTAATTATGAGTAACCTTCTGGACATCAGGTTTGTAAAGGCTCTGTTATATCTGTTCCCACACAATTCGGAAACACAGGAATTATGTCTTGATTTTTACATCTTCTTTTATACAGATTTCCCTTGTAATGCAAGGCAACTGTCTTGGTGAAATTTACCATCAGTATAACAACGTTTCACTCCCTTATTCTAGCCCTGTTGCTCAGGCAACTGCATCTATGCCGTGTAGTGAGAATATCCAACTCTCTTATCTTTAAGATTGTTAATAGCTCTGTAGTGTACATTGTTTATATACACTGAAGCCTATGAAGAACTGTAACTGAAGAGAACTAGTAGTTCAGGTGGGTAGCTGCGTTTCTTTCCCAATGCCATATTTCTGCTTAACTAGCATCCTCTCCCTACAACTCCCCATTTCAGATGAAAAACTTTGGATTAGTATTATTCATACAGTACATCTTGTACATTTTGCGCTTAAGAAGTGGTGCATTTTCCCAACCTTTACATAGTTACACGTTACTCCACTTTCGCACATGGTCTGAACTTGCCATGTGTCTTGCTTACACTATAATGTCTATTGTTTGTACATCTGCACTGTACTGTAAATGTGAATGTAACTGTGTCTTATATATACACTGTAACGTCTACATGTGCCAGAAATCTGTACTGTACTGTGAGCACATATTGTGACTGTGTCTAGTACTAGATACTACTAGAGAACTAGAGCTAGTAGTTGTGATTGCAGCTTAAAGGGGACAAACCAGAGGCTTTCTGGCTGTCCCTCTTTGCTGCTTTTTCTTCTAGTGGCTTAATTTTGGAAGGATATTATCCCTGCTGCAGAAGATCCTGGTGAGACGGGTTCAGAAGCAGAATCAGAAGAACAATCACTTTTATTCGCCAGTATGTGTCAGGTACAGGAATTTGCCTTGGCACATTTGGAACCTGCTCAACACAAAAAACACACAGGTGCAAAAGGAGCACAAGGAACATAACCGACATAATTACATTGGGCAATATACAAAGGATGGGGAGACACAAAAACACAGTCACAATATGTGCTCACAGTACAGTTCAGACTTCCGGCACAGGTAGACGTTACAGTGTATATATAAGACACAAGTACATTCACATTTACTGTACAGTGCAAATGTGCAAACAATAGACATTATAGTATATGCAAGACACATGGCAAGTTCAGACCATGTGCAGTTCACACCATGTGCGAAAGTACGGTCTGAGGAGTAACGTGCAACTATGTAAACATGTTGGGTAAATGCACCACTTCTTAAATGCAAAATGTACAAGATGTACTGTATGAACCAAGTTGGCAATAATACTAATCCAACGTTTTTCAGCTGAAATGGGGAGTTGTAGGGAGAGGATGCTAGTGAAGCAGAAATATGGCATTGGGAAAGAAACTGTTCAAGTGTCTGTTGGGTTTGGTTTTGATTACCTTGAAGCGCTTTCCAGGGGGAAGCTTTTGAAATAAATGATCTCCCGGGTGGGAGGGATCTGCAGCAATCTTGGTGGCCCGATTCACTGCTCTAAATTTTTCACAACACGTTTAAAGATTGTAACTGTTTTCCAAATTAAATTTTTAAAAATATCATAGTTACGTGAGAAACTAATTTCTATTACAAACACCCCTCGTGTTAATAAGCTGGTAATGAAGAAAACATGAGAGAACCCAGACAACTGAGGGACCGCAGGTATATTGAAAGCATGGGCTCCACTCAGGAGTGGTTCTAAGGAAATACCATCCCAGTATAGGAACAGGAATGGGTTTATTCCATGCTGAATGGAAAAGAAAAGAGATACAAGGTTTAGTTTGTGGAGCCTGAAGAAGGCTGTTCCTTTGCAGCTACCTACTTGAATATCCCAGCATGCTGAACGTCGTGTATATAAATGCTGGATAGGCCTGGTTGCCTATAGTTGTATTTAGCATGGCTACAAGAGGAGACCATGTGACTTTAAAAGTGGCTGCTTAGCACAGATACCAACATTGTAAGACAGTATTCTCATCCAGCATTTTCTTTCTGTATAAGTCCATTACTTAAGGTTAAATTGGTAAGTTTTCATGCCACGAAACATACTGTAAAGTACAGCAGAACCACATTCCTCGACTGAATACAGGGATGTGCATTGAATGTCACAAATCTATAGTCACTCAGTGGAACACCTGTTATAGAAGGTGATGTCACCTCCTGGGAACCTGGATAACACTAAAGTCTTCCTCAGCAGGAGAGCTGGGCTTTTAGCATAGCAGAATTCACTGGGAGGCTTCAAGACCCTGCCTGTGGGCAGCCCTTGATTTCATTGCAGGCAGACCTGCACTCAGCACACGTTGAGATAAAGCATATTTCGTAGCTACATACATTGACTGCAGCACCCACAGTATTTACAGAGTATTCAAATTGCCGTAGCTTTCGTATGCATGGCGGAACACAGAACACTGTGATGTTATGACTAAACTCTTGCATTCAAATTTGAAATTTGAATAAATGGAAACACGGCACCAAATAACGTCTAAGCAAAATAGTCAATCTAGACTGGAGGTCTGAGGTTGTGCTTGCTTCATCGGACAATATTTCTGTACTCTATAGTATGAAGAATTGTACTTTCATATAGGATTATTTTGCATGCCGATGCCCAGATTTCTCTGTCTTTCGGACTCACCGGTAGTAGCCCGATTCAGTTTCCTTAAGAACAGTTCTGTCATAAAACAGTCCTTATTTAAATCCAGTATGTTTTGCCGCTTTATTTGCTATGTGCCCAGATAGTGAAGATACTATTGGCTTCTAAGACAATTTGTTTTCTAATCCACGTAATGAATGCCTTTTTTTTTGCACTGCAACCTCATTTGATATATTCAGAAAGCTCCTTATGTTTTTCCTAATGGTTTGTTTTCTTTAAGGCCTTCTGTTTTGTTTTTATCTATCCTTAGTTAGTGAAAGGGACACTTTGTCTCAGGAGCTGCCCATACCTACAGCAGATTTTGAACTAGTATTCTTTCCTTAGCATCAGGTTAAATAAGCCTTTCTGGCACTGATCCGCAGAAATAAAGTGAACCTCTTCAAGTGTTAAAAATGTCAAGGAGTTTGTTTTAGACAAAACTGTTCCTTTAATAGCATAACTTCTATCCACTCCTTGTTTCTTTTTAGTGATCGATTTGATCAGTTAAACAGCACATCTTTGTTGTGATTTATTAGAAGCACAAATAGGCCTAAATCAATTCCATCATTAAGAAACCTAAATGTTTAATGGATTGTTTATAACCTCTCCCTTTTGTTAACAATTTTTCTATATTTATGCATGCTTGATGTTTTAACATATTCACTTAGTCTTTTAAATGAGAAGTAGTGTTATTTTAATTTCAGAGTTTCTCTTTATGTTAAGAACTGAAATGACTCACTAAAAAAACATTACAGGGGGATCGTATTCAGTGTGTAGAGAGAAAGAGATTAATGTTTTGTCACATATGTTACAATAAGAAAACATTTAAGTGTAATTTCAAAAAGACTTCAGAAACGTTATTCCATCATTTCCCAATGCTGTTTGTTGTTCTCTGCTAATTATTCCTGTAATTACAACAATCATTGTTCATCCCTCCTTGTGTCAAGAAACTCATTTTATGAGTATCCAAAATGCTAGTCATTTTTTTCATAAGGCATGTTTAATTCTTAGGGGCAAAATTTCATTTCCTTGTTCAAATAACTAGAAAGTGATAGTGAAGTGAGGAGATTATGTGGGAGGGGAGCAATGAAATTAGATTTTTTTTTTGGTCAGATTTGTTATTGAAAACTGCTCTTTAAGATTTGAGCATTATCATACAAGGTACATTCAAAGAATCGCTAAATAGTAATTAGTAATAGTAATTTATGTTTGACAGTATCTTAGACAGATATACTTGCCAGTGTGGAAAGATTGGACGGCTTTTGTGAGAATCCTTAATTAATTGTGTGTAATACTACTAAGGTACATTCATGCAATGCCATATTGGTGTTGCATAAGCATATTTCATAACGGCAGAATATCACCTTGGTCAGGCAAAATAATTGGAACAAGAACATTGTTTAGCATTGTCCTTGATTACCATCTAGTGGTTAAAATCTGAACTGTTTTGTGGTCCTTCCTTCCCTGAAAAAATATCACATGCACAGGATCAATGATTGTCCATGCAAATTTTTTTATACATATAAAAAATACAATAATTATTACACTTTTGAGCAGAAAAACGTGTCTATACAATCTGTTAAAAGTCTGTGCCTCAGTCTTTTCATATTTCCTGTAACGCCTGATAGACGTTTAGTACAGCTTAATTTCTTGCTTTAAAAGGAAACTATTTCAAATGCCTTGCTTTGCTAAACAGGTCCTGTGCAAAGTTTCAAACGTTTTGTGATATGAATGAAAAATTGCTTTATTTTTTGCAGGAATGAGCAACAGTGATGTAATGACTTCCATCCAGCGTGGATATCGAATGCCTCAGCCTGAAGACTGTCCGAAAGAGCTCTATGCCATAATGTCTTCCTGTTGGAAGACTAAACCCGAAGACAGGCCAACGTTTGACTACATGCAGAGTGTACTGGATGATTTCTACACAGCAACCGAAGGGCAATACCAGCAACAGCCTTAAAGTGATTGAGCTTTACTCTGCGGTTTCTGATGTTTAATGGTCTGGCTACAGCCACGAATGGGAGAAGTGACTTTCAGTGATGCAGCAGGCTCACAGTGACAGCCCTGGCAGTCAATCTAATGCTTACTTGAAGCATTTTTTTTGAAAAAAAAGAGGCTGGTTTTCCTACTTCAAATTGAAGTTAATTTAACATGAATTTCCTTGTTCAAGTTGTATTTTACACCAAGTTAAGACTATGAAGCCTGTGCCTTTTTTTTACATTTCATTCCTACAGAGACAACTGGGCCCTCAACACTGTTATAAAAAAAAGTTTAAGGACAGCTAGAAGGTCAAACAACTTTAAGATTGAGTGGCAAAAAGTTTATCATTCATCTGTCTTGCGGTCTACATTTGTGATATTATGCAACAGCTGAGGCCTATTGTTTTAAGCACAACAGAGATAATGTCTACATTTGCACCCGAATCATGTAAAGCATGGCTATTGACTAATTTTTTTTTAAATATAGCATACTCCAATAATTAGCTACTAAGGTAAATTCGAATACTGTACTACCAAGAAAAACTCCCAAAGGGTCTTACCATACTTTAGTGGACCTAATAATAATCCCAGAACAAAAGTTTTTTGGACCACTTGAAAGATAAACATCCTGCCCGGAGAGAAGAAAGTTGTCCGTCTGTACAACTAATCTGTGATGTGATGTCTTATGTCCACATTAATTCACCAGCTGTGTTTCAGAAGCCGGAGAACCTTTAGATACTAATTAGATAAGGAACCATTGAATTGGAATGTACGACATAAGCAGCAAGTCAAAACCCCCTTATGTCACAATTAGCCCACTACAGTTTTCTGAAATAGAGCAAAAATACACCTGAGAGAGCTTTTTGATTTAGGACTTGTATACTGTAACCCACTAGGCTGGCACAGTATCCTCCAATATACAGTAGCAATGGTATGTACAGTAACTTCCTCTTGGAGCGCATTAAAGACAGGTGACTTTCTATTTAATTTTATACTGCTGTTAAAAGTTGCCTTGGACTCACATTTCCGACTACCACATAAGCAGAGATTGCCAACCTAATAAAGTTTGCTTAATCTGCCTTGTTTTAACAATTGTAGATTCCAGTTTGTACTAAAATTACTCATGTTATCAAGTTTGTCATTCTATAAATATGCATGTAAATATTGTGATTTTTTACTTTAAAATGAAGAGCTAAATGTAATATGCACACAGTATAAAGAACTCAAAAATATTTCAATAAAGAGGCTTTTTTTAATTTTGTTTTTGGAGATACTCACAAAATGTACAGTAGCTGCTTCACAGTTTAAACAAACAGCCAGGTAGTCAAATGGCTTCATGTAATCACTCTTGTTCTAATTTTAAAACTCTACTGTTGTTCTGGGGGGGGGGAGATTGAAGTGCAGACTTCAAAATTCAGATTTCCTTGAATCACCGATGCCACCAATTTTCTTTACTTCTAGCACCGTCTGATGTCTCATTTTAGACTACAGGTCTATGGTTTTCATCTCCCCCCACAAAGCATTCGGGTATTTTCATCACTCCAGTTAAGTTGAATAAAGAGGTGAGCAAGGATTCATGCTGTAGCACATCTAACAGAGCAAAACAGGTTAAGAAAAGGACTTTCCAGGACTGACGGTGCAACAAGACTAAACCGACAACACATTTCATTGTTTGGTCTTTATTTAAAATAAAATATTTGACATTAATATTCTTTAATACTTTTTAACATTTCTAAAAACATTCACAGCAACAAATTCTTCACAAGGCTCTCTTCCGCGAGGAGCTCTGAGTGCTCTTAGCAGATTTCTTCAACGTTCTGCTCAGTTTAACAGGAGAGGAAACGGATGCCTTTATATTTGCAAGCAGGCCTTTCTTGGGCTTGGGCTGCTCTGGGGCCTCTTTTGAAATCCTGTTCAGCTGCTCAAGTTCTTCTCTAAGTCGTGACACCAAAGTCTCTAGTTCCAAGGTGGTATTCTGCAGTTTTTCGATCTCCTGGTCCTGTGGAATGCATACAAAAATTCTGAATTACGATACTCAAGCATGCAAGAGGAATTAAAGCAGAAAAGCTCTTGATCAGTAGTTCCCAATCCTTGTCCTGGAGGTATATAGTCTGTTCTTTTTTTATATTTTTTCTATAGTTAAGTTCTTAACCACAGGCTAACTGGTTTGTTTTCTAAATCAGGCCATATGTGTACATTTGATATAGCCCTTAATGGTCAAATGGGATTTGTAATTGGTATCAACCCTGTACCAGTTTCAGAAGTGCCCACATGCACTTTTATTGCTTGAAGTGGAGTATTTGTGACACTTGGGGGCTGACTAAATTGACCTCCTTGCTTATTTAGACAATAAGTCCCAAATTAACACTGGAGATGAGCTCAGCTGGAATGAAAACCAGCAGAACCTGGACTGGGAGCCACTGCTCTGTCTTGAAAAAATTGAGTGATGGACTAGATAATGGGACCTACTGATGAAAAGGTCATTCTAATTAGCACTGCCGTGAGCAAAGTAATATTCGTCCAAATCCAGAAAACACAAGGGTCATTTTCACTCGCACCCTCTGGTGGGGTTTCACCTAGAAAACATCCTGTAGCATCCGAGGGGCTCAGATTTTTTTTTTTACCATTTCTCGAGATCCTTTAGACCCTGAAGTTTCCATTTCTTTCCTAAATGACATTTTTAATTGGACTGAAGTCTGGGAACTTTTGCAAGTGGAAAAAAATTAGGGCGCAATTAACCATTTCTCTATTAAATCGGACATACGTTTTGGGACACTGTCATGCTGGAACATCTGTTAAAATCGGACAAGCATTATTTAAAGGCACTTTTCATCATCTTGAAGATTTAGAGTTAATTCATAATCCAATTCAGCTCATTAATTAGACAATATAATCTTAAATGAAAAGAAGCACTTACCTGGTCAGTAATTTTCTGTTGTAGGACCTTAATTTCTGTCTGTTTTTTCATAAAGCTTTCTGCAGCTTCCTGAAGGGTTTTATTCAGTTCTACAACCTTTTTTTCCAAAGATTTAATTACCTAATATAAAAGGATGTAAATGAAACAAGAAGGAAAGAAGACTTGTTATAGTGAATAAAAGCACATTGAAAATCTCATCCATTAATTGAAAATGCGTTTAGGCATACGATAAGACTCTGGGTTTTAATCTGGAGAATGCATACCATTGTCAAAGGCAATGGAAAACTTGCTTGTAAGCTTACATCACATTATGAGAAGTTATTTAACAATACAAGATCCTTCACACATTGATTCCTAATACCACAACATCACTTGAGTGACTGAACCATTACATTACTCTTAACACTTCTTCAGAGAAGGAAACTAACTTCTCTTCAGAACAAATTGAAAACCTTGGCTGATTTATTCAGGATAAATACCTGATTTAAAACAGTTGTTCTAGGGCAGCCATACACAAAACAGATGGATTAATCCCTTGCTGAAAAATCTTGCCAGCTTTCAGCTGGGAATTAACCTTTTCCTGTTCCTTTGCAGTCAAGTCTGCTGATGCAGCTTCACACTTGAACTTCTACAAAAACAATTACCTTGTTTTTCTCTTCTTGCAGCTTTTCAGACAAGGCATTTGCCTCAGGAAGTGCATCGTTTCTCTTTGACTCTTTCAAAAAACAAATCATGGATTTATAATATGCTTTCTTTTTTATTTATAGAACATATAAGTCCTTTTTTCCTTCTGGATGAAATTAAACATTTTTTGCAGTATTAAAGTATAATGTGTTGCATAAAGGAATAAATCTACTTTATCTACTGTACCACCAGTGCAACCCCATTAAACAGTGAACCAAGGGAGAAATTAGTCCATAGTGGAATTTAACCAGGACACCCCATAGTGAAGGAAGTGGTCTCTGTTTAACATCCTATCTGAAAGGTGACACCTATGTACAGAGAGGTGAATAATTCTGCCAAAATGAGTACACTACAAATAACAAAGGAATATCTCCGATAAGAGTTCTGTCGGAGAAATAAGAAGAAACGAGAGATAAATATAAAGTTGTGCACACACTGAAACAATGTGTGGTCCTGATCACTTTCATGAGAATAACCTTCTTAAAATTCAGCCGTGTCCACCAGAAAGCTATTTGGGAATAAAATGCTACAGCCAAAACAAAGAATAAATCTTGCACTACTCATAAATCTGTCAGCTGTAAATAAAACATACCTTCTTACACCAAGGTCATTCCTATTAACAGCTTCTCCTGCACCATGAATATTTGTAGTACTATATGCAACCCCCATCTTCAGCAAAGGATGTGAAAACCTTACACCACAACTGCACTTTTAATATATTACCTGAGGAGCCAGACTCAAACTCGAGAGAATACTGGTTTGAACTTGTCATGGTCTGTGGATCAGAAGGATTGCTCTGGAAACTTCTAAGCTTTTGCTCCATTTCAGCAAGCTTTTTCGTCAAATCCTACAACAAAAAAAGAACATAGCACACCATAATCTAAAATGTTCTGTCATCTTAAGTAATTCATCAAAAAAAACATTGAAATCTCAGTATTCGTTCCAACGTCCTTTGTGGTGTTCCTTATCAGAGAGCCCAGTTATTGAGCAAAGGACCACAGAAGGAGTAAAGAAAATTATTAGACCATTAGAACAAGGTAAAGTGAAGTACACTCGTGGAAAAACCTAGTGGTACAAGCAAAAAGAGCCAACCAAATCTCAAATAAACCTTAAACAGAATCAGGAAAGAGATTTTCAAAAGGTGGGGAAAAAAAAAATAAAAAATCACCCATGTTCTTTCAAGTACAGATTGCCTGAACAGAAAAGGTCTGGGTGAAGCCAAAGGTACCTGAACTCTCTCTTGTTCAGCAAGAAATTCATCCACAGGTACATACTCCTCTTCTACTCTTTCTAAAGCACACTGATAGGCGTGCTCTTTGATGGCATCTTTGTACATTTCAAAAGTATTCTCCAGTTTTTCTTCGTAGCTGTCCTTAAGCTCTTCAATCTGCCTACTGTAAAAAAAAGGGGAACAGGTTCATAGTTATTCTAACTGGAAAAGATAAGAACATGTAATTTACATTGCATATTGTTATAAAACTAGTCAAAACAACCCCCAGATTTCAAACTTCTTGAAAACCAATGAAACATGGATCATGCAGTTCAAGCCTATAAAGATTGCTTCTGCCACAGTCTTTTAAATGAGAAAGAGACAGTCCAATGAATTCTATTGTATGTGGGTTTGTGAACATTCTGCTCTTGTATAGTATTAATCCAGGTTACGCAGTCAATGAATGGTTTTCTCTTTAACATTTTGTACAGGAAACAAACTTTTTTCAGATGACTTATGGAACTGGCTGCTGTGAAAACATACAGTAATAATTTATGAGCGCTTTAATACAGAGCTGAAATCAGTGCTCGCAGCATATTGGGGTAATGACATTGCCACAATCGTGAACGATTTATATCCGCATTAGAAATTAATTTATTAAAACCAGCGAAATCCACTTCTGACACTAAAATCAATGTATTTCCCCCCCTACAGAACTAGACAGAATTTAACAGGACCCTTTCTAAAACTCATTCAGGATCATTTCCATCCCTTACTTTCTGATCTCTTCACTCTCCAAGAGCTGCTGGAGCATTGCGTCTCCCATCTCTTTACGGATTTCAATCTCCTGGACGACATTTTTACGCCGTTCAGCAAGCAGCTTCTCTTTAAGGGTCTCGATAATATTCAGAAGTTCCTTGGGGGGTAAAACAGGCAAACCAGGTTTTTCTAGTATTTGGCAACAAAGTATTTTTTAGATCAAAGTTAATTAGACTATTGAAAATTAATTGCAGGTGTACTACTCCATAAAAAGAACACTGAAGAAGTAGTTGAGTAGTTGCCATATAATGGTGCTGGAAAGGAATTGAGGACAGGTTTGAAAGTCTGGAGCGCAGAGAGTTGACCATTACTACCGTGTCTTTGAGGATTAAAAGCTACTTGTACAGCAATTCCAAAAAAAAACTGCTTCATATTCAGTGCCCATGCCTTTGCTCAATATAGTGTTATAATATACCAGAAGTATACAAGTGTAAATGAACTGCTGCATAAGATGCAACAATGTTAAATCTATTACAATCACCAGTAGCCCTTGTGATATACAGTATACTACAGCTTAAAGTTCTATATATATATACAGTAGGTATGGAAAAATAACATTGGAAAAGTTTGTAATTGGGCACTGTACTTAATTACTCCTTAAACTGATTTCAGCTGAAACTTTGATAACATGATTACCCATCAAATTCACCCATTAATTTTGCACTTGTAATCTGCACAAGTCTAACTTCCATTTTGAAAAATACCACATTGCAGCCTAAAGCCTCAAAAGAGGTTTTAAGGGTGGAAGATGAGCAAGAAGAAACCTCCCTCACGCTTCCCTCCAATGATTTAGCATTTCACCACACGTGGCAGCAAGACAAATACCTCTTGAGGCAGGACTGACATGTCAGATTCATCATCATCATCAAGCAATTCTTCTTCTGACAAGTACATCTCAAGGGCTTCATTATCAATCACTCCATCTCTGATGAGGGGCTTTCCATCCTTCCCCACCAATCGGGGGGCTATACTCTCCAGGGTTTTGGAAGGTATTATTTGAACCACCTGAAATGAATAAAGAATGCATCACATGAAAAAATACCAGACGTTTAGCACTATACTACCATGTGTTAAACCTACAATCACATAAGTAAGCTACAGTTAATCAGAGTGTGCAAAATAGCAGCTCCTACACAGTCCACAAGTGGATTTGAAATAAAGGTGGTCTTCGATGACAAAAGCAGACCACAACTAAAAAAAAAAAAGACAACCTTTTCTTTAAGACCTCTGTATTCTCCAGATTGTATAAAATATATTCTAAACATTTAAAATTCCAGAAAATCAGTTACTTTGTAATTACTAAGGACCCAATTACCATCCCTAATTTAGAATGAACTTAGAAATGTAACCTCAGATAAACCAGACTGCTGCTGATCAACAAATACAGCAGGTAAAAAAAAACAGCTGAGTCACAAACCAGATGTTTCTCTGAAAGGAAGAAAAGTTTTTGTTCAAAACCAATGCCAATAGAATTCCACTGGCTAGAGTAGAGCAACACACCTGTTTGGCCACAGCAGAGAACTTCATCACGTGGAGAGTTTCATCATAGGTGGAAGCACACTGGTTAATGTTCACAATCATACATGCTCTGCCCTTCCCACAGAAAATGGACTGAAACAGACGTGTCAGTTTGCTCTCGCGAAAGGGGACATAACCATTCCTTCTTCCAAGGGGAGAGAAAAATAAATAAATTGTTTAAACAGGAATCAAACAACTGAAAAACAATTTCACACTTAATCACAAACATGCTCTTTTGTTCAAGATCGGCACTGCCTTCCAATTGTGATGTACTTAACTGGATTAAAATTCTTTGATTATAACTCTTTGAAATTACTACAAAATCTTTAAATCCAGACTTCAAAGAAGTCAAAAACTGCATTCCAAGTAGGGAAAAAAAACTTCCCATTTTCATTCAAACCGATAACAATTTGAGGGTAAAGTTACATTACTAGCACTAAAAGCCTGACATCTTGGACATCTTCACTAGAATGAGGTGACAGGTTGTTCAAGTTTCTTTTGCTAATTTTTTATTCCCTCTTGTGATCTGGAGCCAGTACCTGTGGCTCCGTCATTTGGCTCCTGTTCAAAGTCATTTGCTGTAAATTTCAGATTCCTTATTTGAAACTGCTAGTTTGAGGATTCGAATGCCATGTTCTTCATAAAGATATTCATTATCCAGTTGCAAAGATACAAGTTTAAGTGATTTGTCAATTCAAGACAAAATCTTAAAACCTTTGGATTTTGTGTGGCTAATAATCAAGTACTTTAGAAGCCGAATGAAAGAAAACCATGAAGAAGCTCATTTTTCCTGTGCAGCCCTTTCAAGAACCCATCGCATGCATAAGAGATTACAAGCCAATGTAATTTTGCATCCATTTCATCTAATAAAGTAAGATCTTGTCTGAATGTCCCGCAAACCTTCAACACAAATCACTTACTTGGCGTTCTGGTTCTGACGCAATGCAGCTATGCACTTTCCCAGAATAAGCAGTGAATTATTAATATTTCCAGCCTCCTTCAGGCGCTCTCCAAAGGTCTTAGTTTTGTTGCAGCGTTCCGAACCAGCCAAGTCACAAAGAGAAAGTCTAAGGCAAGGGGGGAAAAAAGTTACTTGGCACATAGCCTTTTAAAAGTACAGTATATGCCATTTTAAATAATTTGCCCAGACTTACTCAGACATCCTGCGGACTTCAGTTCCATGAATTTTCATCAGTTTGATAGTAAATATGCTGTGGCTAACAAAATGAATCAAGAATCAAGAGTCAGAAGGGGAGGCGTGACAAACATCTGATATTGCAACAGGTCAACAGATGAAGAGAAAACCAACCTTGAGAAATTAACTTTTACACAGTTGTTAAAAGATTACAACTTAAGATGTTTCAGAATAAATGTACAGATGTTAGCAATTAATTTGCTCCAATCCACTGATTGATAAGGCGTGGAAAGTTACTTTTATCACAAGGAAAAAAAAAGAATTCCAAGTGACAGAGGTGGTCAAACCAATCGCCCAACACATCTGGGAACAACCCTAGTGATACAATTGAAGTCCCGCTCTATGAACACTTATTTCGCTCTATGAACACTTCGATTTTATTTGTACCGCATGATGTGGTCACAAAAAACACCTCTCGCACAGCTGTCCAAAATACTTTTAAAAAGTGTTCTAGAAGAATGACGGGGCTTCCATAAAACAACTGTAAGATGCTTGACAAAGAAGTTGCATCCATGTGTGATGTTTTTTAAAACAAAAAAGCACCATGGAGCCTCATCAGGAGCATGGAAGAGTTGGGGAGGACAATGAGCAATGAGAAAAGGGTAGTCTAGGAGATCAAATAAATAAATGAATGTGCAAATGAGTAGGTAAGAATAACTGTATACAGATTTTAGTACAGCTACTACAATACTGTAAATCATAAGTTAATCAGTCATTATTAAAACCACAGCATGGGGGCCATCAATTTTTATATGAAAAGGAAGAAAAATTGTTCCCATAAATGTTTTAAGTAAAAGCCTCATACCTTCGGCTTGATGAATGGTTCATCTTTGTAGAGGCGGCACTTCGATTTTTGTTTCCTACTCTCAAGATCTTGCAGGCTTCTTCAGTGCTCTGGACATTAATCCACTTTAAACCTGCAGAAATTAATACAAATTACTCTTCAATAATGGGCACATACTACTTGACTGATGCCACTAATGAGATTTTCAGCATCTTATTTACAGGACCAGCAAATGAGATCTTTCATTAGGCTTAACAGCAGAATTCAAACCTAAGGAAGTACAGTACTTTCATACGGTATGTTGTAGTGCAGAGCAGTTCTGATATTTGCACAAATACCACACTATAAATTCCAGGAAAAGTATTTTTGGAGGTATTCATACTCTCCCATGCAATACATTTTGATTTCATGTTTGCAGTATGTACTCACAAATATAAAAGCAGACACTTTTACTTTAGTCATATATTCCAACATTTTAAAAGCAAATGAAGTACAATAGATCTCGTAACTGATCAAATCCCCAGTTTAACCTTAAAAGGTATATAGTGCATCAAAACAGTTGAAAGCATAGAAGGAGGTAACGTGGGGAAAGAAAATGTAAATTGGAATCAAGTTCTAAATGAAGCAAGAAGTTCCTGTATTTCCAAAGACATGCATTCAAAGAACTTGCCTCTCACATACGAGTTTCCAGAAGAGTCCTCACACACCCTCAAGGCAATCCGCTTCTTGTTTTTAGAAGTGGGGATGGGTTCAAGTAGGTCGTACACACTTTCATTGTAGATTTCAGAGAAAGAGACCCACACAGAGAACAGGCTTGAATCTGTTTCAGCGGCTGAATCAGTCATGTCAAAGGGACCAGCTGATTGGGGGGAAACAGGCACAGAGAAATCATTTACAAATTGATTAAAGTACAATTCAAAAGCAAAGTTCCGGCAATATTTAGCCTCCTAGAAAGAAGAATCCTTGCACTACCTGTCTGATCATAGGATACTGACGAAAAGGAGAAACTTGGTTCAGGTTGAGATTTTAAAATGCCTTTAAGATTGGTAGTGCTTCTGGTGGCTTTTGTAGATTGTTCATTTTCCTAGACGCTCAAAAGAAAAAGCTGAATTAAGAACAAGCTGCATTTAAAATTCTGAAAATGCAAAGAACTGTTAAAGACATAGGAGAAAACTCAGTTTTGAAGAGACACATTAAAAATTAACTAAATGAATATATTTTGGAATGGCAGTTCCTTTTCACCATCATCAAAATCTGATAGATCCTCCATAAGTACTTCTGGATGTCAACATTGTTCCTTGACATTGCAGTATACTAGTGCCTCCATAAAAAAGCAAGTCTCCCCGCGATGGTAAGATATCCTTGGAAGCATATCCACTTACTGTGGGAGGTTTTAGGGAACCCCTCCTGTAAAACTTTTAATTTAACATAAAAAAAGAATTTAGGTCAAAATCGGTCACAACTGTAGAGGAAAATAAAGATTAACACTTCTGCCTTTAAAATAAGTCGACAGCATTGGTGACTGAAAACAATTAACTGCTTCATTTTTGGTGCCAAACGTTCGAAGATAATATTTATACATGGAAAATTCAAAAAACAACTGCGTTAAGAAATCACTCTTTCAATTACGCTTGTTGCGAGACACCATGCTAACTATAAAGAAGCTATATCCAAATATTTTGCATCATTATACATCTACAGTATATCAAAGCAGCTGTGGATAGAAACTGGAAAGAGCTACAGATTAGCGAGGGGTTGTTAATGAGTATGAATTCATGAGTAGCACCGTTAGGCTCTAGAGCACTGTCACCATCCACAAAGCCCTATTAACAAAAACAGTATTACACTTGGGTCACAAACTACAGGACATACAGTATAAGTGGTCATACAACATTTTATTGAATGCACTTACTCAGACTGTATTCAATTTATTTTTCCAAAAATGCCTATATGAGGAAGGTAAAGCACAACAAACCTCTTTCAGCAATGCTAACACAGCAGCTTTTGTGCACTTCTCCTGCTTGACCTGATCATGATCTAGATACTGGACATCATTGCTAAGATAAGGCTTCAAATCCATGTGCTCGTATTTCCTCCCTTTGATATGGTCAAAGATCACATCAAGAGCTTGTGGCAAAATGCCAGGGTCATTTGATGATCCTGCCCAAAAAAAAAAATATTCACTTGAATTCTAGAATGATATTAAAAATCATAGGACTTTCAATTAATTTCAACAGCGGATTAAACTGGTCATTCTATATATAGATATAAGGTGTCGGATACTACAAAGTAGTCATTTGGTGTTTGACAATTTAAATAACTTAACAGTAGTCTTACCCTTCATTGTTCATAAAATACTTGATTTAATTACGACATTCTCCTCTAACAACAGTCTCTCATGTACACTATATATACACTGTACACACACACAACACGTATATTAATGTTATATACCTTGGATTGTATGGGTTTTTCCTGCATTGGTCACCCCATAGCTGAACACCAAAGAATTTTGTCCTTCTAGGTAACTATACACAAGGCTTCTCACTGTGTTTTCAAAGAAACGGGTCTGGGTTGTCTCTGGCCCAAAGATCTAGACAAACAAAAACAAGATGAGCAAAAGGAACACTGCAATGAAATGTACTGCACTGTGCTCTTTCACTAAAAGAGCACACTAAAAAAAAAGGAATGCAGATTTATTCTTGGTGAACATGCTCAATTTAGTCATCAATCTACAAATCTGGAAGTGTAGATTTTACAATAAAAGCACCTGAGAAAATGAAAACTTATGCGCAGCTTGGCCAATCCCTCTCTCACTGTTCTTCATTGATAATGAGTCCTTAGGAGCCTGCAGTACTGCAGTTTCAGAGTTTTCCAAAACCACGCAACCCTAGGAGAAAAAGCATAGGCTGCTACTTACAACTCGAAACATAATATTCAAATAACTTACTGTGCACGTTTGTATTTCTACCCATTTTACCTGATCCTCATTGTTCGAGAGCTCTTCCTTGGAAAATGGCCTCACTCGCAGGTAGACTTTCAGCTGCTGTTCTTCCAAATTGCCTCCTGACTCAACCTAAACTCATCAGGAGAAGGACATTCAGTAAATGGTCTTGAATTCTCCCGTGGCATTGCATGTAGATGATTAAACCGCAGAACAACTTTATTTTGGGTATTTAAATTAATACATCACGCAAGTACACAATAAGAGGAATAACGACTAGAGCAAGACGCACCTGTGCCGATACTGTCGTCGCAGATATTGTAGATAGCTCGGACAGCACACCTCTGTGAAGATTGTCAAAGTGATGGTCATGCGGTGTGGATTCCATGGCGTCCCTATCTGGATGCGCAAGTACAGAGCTTTCATCAGTAAAGTCGATTTTCGCTGACATCTCTAAGAAAACCAATATATTGAGTCCAGATTAAATTACAAAACGCCGAACGTCCCTTAATGTCTCAGCTTGAATGACGAGACACTGCTGTACTATATCTAAAACTTTAAAACGTATTTTTTACGCTATATGCGAACAAAATAAAGAACGATTCACCTTCATCTACGGTTTCTAAGAAGTTCAGCGTTGTCATCTAAATACAAAAGAGGTTATAACTTCTGCTCCGAGAAGCGATTCAATGTAATTGAATGAGCCAAACCTTAGAACCTCAAGCTCCAAAAGCCCACGATAAGCAAAATTAAATTCAGGTGAGCAACGTCCCTGGCTCCAGGCGTTAGCTGACAACATCAATTACATGACTGTCCAATATTATCTTATATTAAGGGGTATAAGATATTTACGGTCCCAAAAAGATTGTGAAATCAACTTTTGTTTTAATGTGATAACTTTCGTTTCGTGTTTAATTCGAAATAGTGTGTGTATAATATTTGTTGACCTAGTTGTTTTTTTCAAGATTAAATAATTGCAGGACTAGGCAGGTGTTGTCATCTAACAACTGTTTGTCTTGAGTGCGCAAGGTCATTTCCCAATATAAGCCCCACTTTGAACAACTTTTTTATATCTGCTTCCTCAGTGTCCTCGATTAACGCTCAACTCCCCTTCAGACTTTTAAAATGAACCTTTCTATTCAAGTAAATAAAACACAATATAGTCGTGTAATTAATCCGGTATACTTTTTTCAAAGATTGAACAGTATCCCGTTCTTATTTTAAACCAAGTGCAACGTATTTAATTCGACAAATGTATAATTTTCTAATGGGCTGGCGTCCGTACAGGATGTACCCCGCTTTCCACCCGTTGATTGGTTCAGCAACGACCTTGAAACTGAGGAGGCGGCTAGAAAATGTATTTTTCCTAGTGCAGTAATTAGTACGTTGAAAATTACAGTAGATAGTTCCTAATCTAAAATAGATTACTACATCTTAAATTTAAATGTACTCTGTGCAATGGATTCAATTTGGCTAGCTTCGTTAATTTGTGAGGTATTTAATCCATCCAAGAATAAAATGTAGAATTTAAGCGGGAGTACTTTGTAAGAAACAAAAACAATTTAAAATAGCGTTTAAAGTTTAAGCATTTCATTGCACGTGTGCATGCATGACAAACTGAACTTCAGAACTCCTACCTAGACCAAAAAAAGTCACGGACCTCCATGCTTTGGGAATTTTAGTTTAGCAAATGAAAACATTGGTAATTCGGAGAAATATAATAGTTCAGGTGGGCAGCTGCGTCAGCATGCGTAGGCTGCAAAGGAACAATAGGTTTATTCCATGCTGAAAAAAAGAAAGAACACAACGTTTCAGCCAAAACGTCGTATTCTTTTTTTCAGCATGGAATAAACCGATTACTTGTTGAAATATTATAATATACTATTAGGATTAAAAAGTCTTAAAATTCCACCTGATAACTTAAAATTCAAGCCTGACATGCACGGTTTCCTAGCCCAGGGCCTCCTGATAACCCTATCTGCTCGTTTTTGTTGCACCACATCTTGAGAATACAAATTAAGACTAGTTGAATTGTTCTTACTATTGTAAAGGTTATACATTAAACCAAAGCAATTTTTAAAATAAAATCTAGGATTGAAATTTATGGGCATTTAAAAGAACTGCACTGTTCAAAATTCAACACCCACCCCCTCCATATTCTTCCAGCCTTTCAGCGATCTCCATCGCTCATCAGATCTCAGGGGACCAAAGCTGGGTCTAGACTTCAAAGGTAAACTACATTGGTATTGTAAGTGGAATTCTTGGAATACATACACTTCCCCCACAGTAAGGGCTTGCCACTTGAACAGAATTGGTGAAGCAATTTCACACTATCTTGTAGTGTAATAGGTTTGTCAGCACAAAATGCCTGCTTCAGGTCACTGAAGTGGACCCGATAAAAGTAGGTCAAGCTCCCCACTCCCCCTTCACCAATAAGTAAAATGCATCAAGATCCTTTATTGTAAGGCAAGGAACTAAGAGCCCTTGGTATCAGTAAGCATCTCTCCGGACTAAAAAGAAAACACCCAGGCCATTCATTTTAAAACTTTATTACAGTTCCAAAACAACCTTATGCATCTGCAATTGTGACCTCAACCTCCACACCAGGTTCAATACTGATGGAGGTGATCTGCTTGACAATCTCGGACGGGCTGTGAAGATCGATGAGACGCTTGTGGATACGCATTTGGAAACGATCCCAGGTTTTGGAACCTTCACCACAAGGAGTCTTCCTAGTTGTGATCCGCAGAGTCTAAAGGTTAAATAAAAAAAACTGAAATCAGTATCAAGCTCCTGGTATATACCCACTTGTTGGTATTTTCACAATTTAAGGGAGTATTTAAAAAAATCTTTCATCCTTTCAGGGATCACTATACATAAGCACAGTAAATTGTTAAATTGTTCAAATCAAATGTACACTAACAACCCTTTTTAGTTTAAATTCTCTAGTTAACCCCCAGGATGAAGAACAGCCCTTCACAACCTGATTACCATTCAGACATTGTGAAGAGGTTCATTAAGAAATATCTTGATTTACTACATTAAGTTTTAGTGCTGAATTTTTCTCTAAAATCTCCAGTACCAAGAATAGAAGTTTAGTATGAATCTGGCACCAATTAACTCATTTACAGAATAACTTTCTAGGCTAAAACTTAGTGCTATACTTTTAATCCAATCAAGAGAGAGATGTCAACAATGCATTTAATGAATGCCTTTTCTTAGGATCTTTATTTCATACATCCTTATCCATCAAAACAGATGGCTCACAAAATGAAGGGAAAGCATTACAGTAAGTGCTCAGCACCTTATGAGAATACCTTTCAATCAAGCAATGCATTGGTGCTGCACGACATTCAAATATATGGCACAAATAGATAGGCCACTGTCTAATTCCTCACAAAATTAGGAGAAGTTAACTCTTCTGCACAAACACCTTGCTCCCCACTTGGCTGTACACCAATACGGAAAAGCAAGGAACCCTAGCATGCAGTGCCGGCAGCTGGCTGGTACCTTGGTTGGCATGCGGACAGGCCCCTTGACTTTCAGGTTCTTCTCCTTGGCACCACGGATCAGGTCAGCACACACTAGACAACATGGAAAAGACAGGGGAACAGCTTTCAGACCTCTGTCTGCGCCAACCAACGTGGCGGCAGGAACATACAAGAATGGCTCAGAATAGCGTATAACACAATCAGTGTATGTCATTTGTAAACATTATCCTCATAGCCAAGACAACAGCATTACAGCAAATAACGCTAAACCCGACAGAACGGATCACAAAACTACAGCAGTTTGGTATTTAAGAACAGTCAACCAGTCATCATGCATTTCACTGACACCCGTTGACAGCTACACTCCGGTCTGTACTGCCTCTCGAGCCGACCCAATTCACTTACCCTTCTCCAAAGACTTCACATTGCGGCTGGTCAGCGTGATTCTGATGCGGTGGATCGCAACCTCAGCCTCAACAGGCGCCTTGCCAGTGTCCTTGAATGCCTGTTTTAAAAGACAGGGATCTTCAACACGTGTATGAAGGATGTGTGGGACCGAGCGATTCCCGGGTGCTTGCGAGTTAACGAACGTTTAGGCCAATTTCGAACTTTTCAGAAAATCGCTACAGGGAGAGAAGGGACAAAACCTCTTATATCAGGGGAAAACATCCCATCGGAGAGAAATTGCTAAAAGAAAGCATGGAGTACAACAAAATTAGCGCGAATGGATTCAAAACAAAACTTACAGAAAACGTATAACCATGTTTTTCTTCCTTTTTTAATCAGCGGACAATACTGCCAACATGCGATCTAGGGACCCCACATAATAACGCTAATACCGATAAAGCCCAGCTTCTGCACCCATTTCTGCTATTATAACTTTGGAGGCTCGTCTCAAACCACACGTGTCGCTACTGAAAGCAGGCCTTCATCACGCCGCCTCGAACTGTAAAGCTCACACAAAATTGTTTATTGTAGTAAGCTGCATGAACAAAAACACGAAACCTTCGTCCTCACCATGTTTTAATGTTCCTGACCGACTTATTCGAAAGAAATCCAAGCGAACAGCGGTGAGCCAGGAAGCAAAGAGTAACCCGAGACACGAACACGGGCTTGCAGAAAAGGAAAGAGCGCAGGCCGGCCAAGGGTTTTATACAACACATACGGGCACTGGGCAACCTTTGACCCCTCCCGCCGAGGAGAGCCAATAGCGGCGGCCGTGTCCTCTGTTCCAATTCAGCCTATTGGTGACCGCGGGAGTCTGGAATGTGACGTAGGCGCTTCGGGCGCGGAAACAGGGAACCAAAACCAAGCCCGGTTACCGGTCATGCGCACTAGTGGGAGTTGCACAGGGTTAGTTTTTCAGCGGGTGCCGCTGTCGGCGGCTGGCGTTGTCACAGGAGGCACGAAACATCCGAAGACACGGTTTTACAAGTCTTATTCATTAGGTGTTGTTCACAGGCTTAGGTTTAAACATTATAAGACTTAATACAGAAAAGAAAAATAACAAACACAAAGGCGGATACGGATAGGATAATAGTTCAGGTGGGTAGCTGCGATAATGCTAGCTAGGATAATGTGTAGATCTATACACAAATACGACAAAGAAATGGAAAAATAAATAGGAACCTTACAGTAAAAGAAAAAAAAATAAACCACATAGCAACTCACGAATAAATACTAGTATATATAGGAATAAGTTAAGGTTTATTCCATGCTGAAAAGAGAAGAGAAACAACGTTTTAGGTTATGGAGCCTTCTTCGGGTGTAGTGTAAACACTGGTATATAAGCAGCAGGCGTGTTGTCACTGCAGCTGATGCCGGCTATGACACATTGATGAATGGAGGCGGGCGTACTGTGGCGCAATCGCCTGGGGTACGCGGCGAGGGGCAGGACGGGAGTAGTAGTGGTCAGGGCGGGGACGAGGAAAGCCGATGACCAGTGCAGCTGACCCGCTGCAAAATGGGCGTACAGTCTGGTGACATCGGCCGGATTCTTGTAAATAGTTCCCTGGTTTCGCACCCCTGTCAGAGTGTAACTCCCCGAATAGACCCCAGTGTGTTGTAAACACACTGTGCAGTGAGTGTGGAGTCAAGGGGAAAATAATATTTTTTCAACACTTTGAAAGAAGAGCTTCGGGACAGCACCATTTTGGGACAAGGATAAAACAAGATTTAAACATATGACTTGGAGTATCAATACTGATTACAGTACGACTGTCACATGAAGATCATATGTTCAAATCAATCTTAGTCAATTTTAACCTTATATGAATGTATGCAAACTGAAATAGACCACATCTGCCACAGATTGAACAAGTGTTTGTAATGTCGCATCAAATAATATATTTAGCTGCTGTTTCCATTATGTTTTTAATCAATGTTTATTAGGTTTTCACAGATATACAGTAGTTTCAAACAGATGGTGAAATACAAAAAACATCCATTAAAAACACCCATTATATTTTTAATAAGAAACCGAATGAGTTCTCTCATGAGAGGATTACTGTGCAAATTTTGGAAAGACCAGGAATACTGTAAGTTCAATTATAGCTCAGTGTGGGATTTTGCATGTACTGTATCAGAGGCAACTACTACTATTCAGAGCTCTTATTGCTAATTACACTACTTACATGTAAATAACAGAAAAATGTTTTTGAAAACAAGCTTCAAAACTCTCATTACAATTTTTATTTTTTTCCTTTATACACAAGAGAAAGGCTTCACAGGAGAAAAAGTTTGTTTTTTATCTTTAGCACAGAATTAACATTAGGGGTTCCTTTGCAGTTTATATTTAATACAATATGAACCCATGAACAAATAAGAATAAAAAAACCCATGTAAAATATACAATCATTTGTCCACATTAAGCAGCTTTATATCTGTGGTGATAAAGGATAACTTAGTCCTATTCTAAGATGCCCTGATGGAAGAAGCTCAACTTTGCTGTGCAAGGGGTGGTCATGAAAGTCAATAATTCCTGCATATTGGCCTTCTACGCTATTCGTTTGATGTAAATGCTTGACAGTTGCAGCTGTTGTACACCGATAATTTTGTTCGCTACCTTCACTTTCATTTGTTTTTATTGCGTGTATTAAGGTAAACCAGGAGACTGCAGTGAATGTTAGAACAGATTCAATAAAGGTTCTATAGAATAAACTTACTGTTGTAGTACGCACATTAAAAGAGCAGTGTTTTCTCAAGAAAAACAAATCACTTTTGGCTCTTCTCACATATGGCATCCATATTTTCATCAAAGATTAGTTTGTAATCAAGATATTTGTAACCATTAACAATTTCAATTTCTTGCTCCTCAACAACTGCTGATTTTGCCACAGGTGGTTGCGTTCTAAAGTCAAAGTTCATGCTGTATCTTTGGGTTTTGACACATTAAGGTGAAGAGAGGACTAGTTACACCAGTCAGCAAAATAATCCACAGCAGGCCCATGACCAGTGTTAATACCTTGCAGGAGATTGACAATGGCAGTCATCAATACACTTAATGATGTGTTGGTCCTCAAAAGGACTTCTACAGCCACCTGTAAAGAATATACAGGATGGGGGACAGCACATAGCCCTGAGGAGACCCCCCTAATCTCTAATACAAAACCATTGACTGTCTTAAAGTAGTCTTAAAGCATTTGTGCATGTATACTTCATTAAGAGATTGAATACCACTCCTCCCTCAGACAAAATGTTATGGCATTTTTCAATATGGGAAAAAGTAACTGGAACCTATAGAGCAATGCAGAGCAGAGACCAAGGTAATAATTACCTAGTCTGTATCCAGGTCCCTGGTGTAGTGTCTGGCTATAAAGTTAGAACTAAAACAAATGGGACAATATGGAGGGGAGTAGAAGACAAGGAGAATTCAAGAGATAACATGTCTGTTTTTGACCAAGCAGGCACGGTTTCTAAAAGATGAGAATGTAGCTATATTGCAAAGGTTGGTTGACTAGTAGTTAAAGCTGATAAAAGGGGAGTTCAAGCCCCCCTTTTAATACATGCTCTTAAAACTAATTCAAACACGTTTTGATGGTTATTCTTCTAAATAAAATATGTAATGATTTGGTCTAATCATTTTGAAGAAAATAGTTCGTAGTACACATTGGAATGCATGCAAAAAGATAAAAAAATGTGGGGAGAACTTTCCTCTTAATAGAACATAATATACCATGCTAGGCAAGGTAGTAAAGTTGGCCATCAGCTTGGGTCCCGTTTCATCTCCTCCAGTAGCAGATTAGATTATTTTATTTAATCACATTTTAGCCAGACTTCGAGTTATACAGTATAGACACCCTACTTTATAGAGGTGGTTTCAAGGCAAACCCCAAGCTTAAAGTATGTCCTGTTCCTTACTGGTGTATTAAGTCTTTTTTAAAATATACATTTAAAAACCTTTTTTATCGCTGTTTAAATTGGTTTTAAAAATTAGTTTTGAATAAGACAAGTCACGCTAATTTAAATACAGATGCAATCTACCCATAGTACCAAAAATACTACTTTTCCCCAAGGGAATTAAATGTTAACATTAACATAAATTAACGTTATTTTTGTATTCCTTATGCAGCAAAGCTTCCATCCCATAATTTGGTTAAAATCGCTGCAAAGAAGGCTGAGCCGTTTGTAAAACGGCATTGCGCCCTCTTCTGGAATTTCTACTATAAATCTGCCACAATTACGTAGGACAGAAACCCAGAACAACATTAATAAGGTGTAAAGATATAGCAATCTTGCCGTACAGAAAATATAAAGAAATGCGTTAAAACCTAGGTAAACAAAACGGTCCACGTGTTCCATTTTATAATTTATTTAAACGAGATAACATCATTCTAGTAATAAAAGACATTTAAAAAGTTAACAATTCACAGTAAACAAGACAATGTCGACTTACACCAGCTATCGCGCCTTTTATTTTCACATTGTCGTCAATAGGTCCTGTAACGTTTCAACTTTACCTATCAGTTCTTTGGCGCTAGGTCTTTCCCTAGGGTCCTTGTTCCAGCACCTGCACATGAAGGCTTTACAAGTTTGTCCCAAAGGGGTTTCGTTAAACACACCGTCTGTCACAGCGGGGCGTAAGTCATACGCCACAACAGCATACAGCACAGCTTGGCGGTCGCCAGTATATGGCTGGCCTCTAGTCATCAGTTGCCAGAAGGTGATACCAAACGAATAGATGTCTGCTTTGAAAGATGCATTTTCACCCTTTAGAAGTTCAGGCGCCCTGTGAGTGTATGTACCGCCCAGGTGACAGTTCTGGGGTCTTGCAGGGGATATGTCGTTGTAGTTGTCCACTTTCTGGGAACAGCCAAAGTCTGCAATTTTGCAGATGTTGCCATCAGTGACCAGTACATTCGCAGGCTTCAGATCCAAATGAATGATGCAATGCGAGTGCAGGAAATGTAAGCCGTTAGCAATATCCTTGGAAAACCGAAAGCACGTTTCTGTTTCCAGGGGAGGTGCGTGGTTATATATAACATGATGCAAGGTGGCTGTTCCCGCAAACTCCATTATGATGGTGCCTATGTTGTCTTGGTTTTCCACGCTTTCGGGAATGCAGGTGGTCGCTGCCACAATCCTGACAATGTTCTCATGCTGCAGATGGGCGGCATTCAGTTCAGACCAGAAGCTCTGTCGTGAGGCTAGCCTGTTCTTAGTGCATTTCTTGACCTTCTTCACCGCTACCGTCTTCCCGTAGTAGGTTCCTTTATATACCGACCCAAAGCCACCCGAGCCGAGGGGATGAAGCAGCCGCAGTTGTTTCCACTGTATGACACAGGACCAGAGCTTCAGCGCATTCCGAGCTTTAAAACCTTGCGATGGTAAATGTAGAGTCGAGTCTTTCACATGCTTCTCTAAGGGGCTACTACATGGTCCTAGGTCAATGCTTGGGTAAAATTCCTTTGGTAACAAACGGCTAACCGGAATCGGAGAAGGCATTGTTATCCCCCAAACACACAAATAGCTGTCATCTGTGCGGTCTGGTCACCCTGGTCGTTAAGCCGTCAGCAAAGCATTCATCGTTTGAAACCCATCTAGCAAAACTCGGTTAAAGGGAGAAAAAAAAAACCTAGCCCCGCTTGCTGCTGTTTTCCTCCCAGGTTAATCCAATTAAATGATGATTTTCAACCAATAGGAGAAAGGTACCGGCAGCGACAAAGCGGTCGGTACCCATATTGTGGTTCGTGTAAAATACGGTGACACGTGTGTCTGATTAGCTGTCATGGAAACATTTTCAGAAAGATGGCACATCTTTTAATCTGCGTCGTTTTTGTCTTAATCCTGCTATTTTACTTTATTCTCCCTAATTTTAACTGTGTGTTTTGTAACATTATTACGTTTTATAATATATAATAATTATCTATAATCATTTCTAATTATATTTCAACATTGTAATATGTTCCAATTTTATGTACTATCACGGGTAAGACTTTAATTCTAGTTTTGTATACATCGCGTAGAATACGTTCAGTCTCTTTATAAAACTAAATTGCATGTATGCAAAAACGTTGTTTTCGGCGGTCTACAGCACAGAAAAATACAGATGAATTTACACGCGCCTCTTTCCCCTAAATGTAAAATCGACACTGAAACGGATTTTATAAAGAGTACAGTAATATATGTGACAGTTCAAGAGGAGAAAGTCATCTTAAGAAATGATTTAAGAATGGTGTCTGTCTCCATATGATGGGACCATAGTATGATATACCCCTTTTCAAACAAGATGTCTTGAACGTTTTCATTTAACATATTCGGTTATTTTAAAGCTCCACCTGGGTCATTCGAAAAGCATAATTTTATTGGTTAAGTTTAATAACGTTTTACAGTATCTACACAGATAGCTTTAATAATGGAAAGGGACTGTGTCGCAGTAAAAAAAAACATCTGAGGGGAGTTCATCATAAAAGATTTCATTTAAAGGAAAGTTCTATGACAAATCTCAACAGCCCAGTTAAATGTACTGGTAATGGCTGTGAATTGTTACATTCCTATAAAAGAGATAGATACTTTATCGATGATAGCAAGAGAAGCATCTAATCAAGAAGGTATCAATCAAAGACAGAAAACACTGTCCAATTCTGTGAGCCTCTCATTCATAGTTATATAGTCAGTGCCAACTCATACACCCCAGTGATTTAATCAGTGCTAGAGAGCAATGACATGATGCAAGTCCTTGTAACAGGAATGACTGACAGCACAGGCACACATACTTAAAGTATTTCTACTATAGCTATAAGCAACTGCTTTTGTATTTGCTGTAAATTCAAGAATAGGAAAACCACACTTAAACCTTGATTTGCACTGTATAAAATATATTTTTTAAAATTTAAAATTGTTTTTTTTTTAATTTTGTGCTTCGGTATGTTCCACAAGAGGTGGAGCAATGTACTTTTGTGTGCATTTGTTTCCTCTAGAGTATCATGGTTTTCTCTGACATTCATTTTGATTAATTTTGTGATTCATTTAAATAATCTGTGAAAATGCATCTGTTTTAATATCAAGGAAGGAAAATCACACCATTAGCTTGTATTTATGGTTCCAAAAGTAATTCAATAATAATAATAATAATAATAATAATAATAATAATAATAATAGGCAGCAATTACAGAACAATCTTTCTGAGGAAGGTTTTAAGTCGATTAGGACAAGTGACTGATATCCTTGGGGATAGAATGCCTGAGCTCTAGGGCACAGTCGGAGGCTCTATCACTCATGAAGCGTTAGCAAGCTTCGTGGACAAACAAGAGACCACAATCAGACAAACAAAGATTGACTAAATTGAATAGCCGAGAATGCTAAAGTCCCTGAACTGGATGTTATTTCATTTGATATCACTATTTGTAGGCATAACCTTTAACATGACACTAATAAAAATTACTGTGCTAATGTTTTTGGACATTTTTGGCTTCACTGAGATCTGTTTAATCAAACAAACAGGAGTGTGTGTGTTCAGTAAAGAAGCCTTCCTTTTATCCACAGATTAGGATGACCACACAATCTAGTGTGAATGGACGAAAATACCAACTTCATCAGTGGGATACAGTAAATATCACTTTATCTAAAAACATTATTAAAAACCACATTATTACAGAACAAAATAGCCCCCACTCTCTTTAAGGAAATGCTGTTGCTAACTTGAAAGTGATTGACAGCTAATGCACAGTTGATTCTTTAACCTTGGACTGATACTGCATGTCTTTCATGGTGTTTCTGGTTCTGGACAGAAGTATTTTTCTAATGTTTTTGACCGCATAATCTGAATAACCTGAGACTTTACAATATAAAAACTTATGATCACAAAGATCAAGTAGTAGAGCTACTCCAGTCTATTTGCTACTCAAAAAAATATGTAATAATTTAAGGGATTACTATTATTTTGAGATACACTGCATACTATATTATATAGCTCAGTATTTTACAAAAAAACTATTTTATTGAGATTACTTCCATCCTGTCATCCAGGGTCTTTTACAGGAAGAAACAGGGGCTAGTGATTGAGGAATAATTCCACTTTATTTTTTTTAGTACATTTTCAGTTCATTTATATTTCCCTATGATAAAAATACATTCCTACAGACATACAGTACCAGAGTGCAACACTTTTTACCTGTCTTTGTATTTGTTGTTGGCCTGCGTTGAGATTCCTGAAGGCTGTTATGAAGGTTTCTCTTTCATCATAGTATCGGGGCTTGTAAGTGACTTGCAGACACTTTCATTCATGTTTCTATAGTGTAAAAAACAAAGCTTCTCTGGTACATTGTAAGCCAGTGCAACAAACGTATAAATCACATGATTTATTGGAGACAGCTTTTTGTGTTTTAGTGGTAAATTAAAGTCTTTTAAAAACCCACATCAATAAACCTTGTAGCATTTGCAACAACCCAGAAGGTTTGGTATATATAACCCTCAAATTCACATAAACAGAAGCAGCTGCAACAAAAAGCAAAACCTCAGGCATTCTTACAAAAACAACTCCCACAACATAGAAAGCTGTGATTGAAAGATGTTTGTGATGTGTAAAGATGGGCATACTGTAGATACACTGACTGTAAGGGTTAGTGATGTAAAATGAATAATTCAAAATTAGTTTAAATGTATATCAGGATGAATATACAGTATATACATACAGAAGCCTATTTATTCCCTTGAATTGCCACTAATATTTCATTTAGCAAAAGAAAAATTATTAATGAAAATTTCTGATTTAAAATGAATTAAATCATTCTGACTTAAGATGTAAAAAAAACATTAAATGTGATACTGAATATATTGCTAGCATACGTGAAAAGTTTAGTTAAACAGTACATTGTCTGTATACATGTTGAAAATACTGTAAATATAATCCTTTGATGATTTTTAGGTCACTTGGAAGTTTTACTAAGCCTCAGAAATTGTATTGAAACTTCTAAGAGTCACCTTGATTATCTCAGAATATTAAAATAGGCTTAATACAGAAGTAAAACAGTGAGGACCATGTCTTCATGGCGTGAGTCAGATGGTTGTCTGAAGAGAAAAGCTTTCAACCTCAACAATTCTAGTGATGTACAAAAAAGTCCATAAAGCACTGTAATTTTGAATGGTGTATCCAGCTGTTTAGTTGCCATAAGAAAGTTTAACTCAAATTTGCAGCTAGAAAAGTGGTTTAGGAGGCAAACTCACACCCAAGAGCAACAATGAAGAATTTTCAAAAGCTCTGGCATCTCTGGGATGCAATGTTTCTAACACTGCTGTTTGAGGTTGACCTCATGAATTTGGTGTCTGTGGCAAAGTTCCATGGCAACATGGAAACAACAGACACATAACAGCAACTAACTGGCTCCTATGATAAGTGGGACAATACGGCTGTAACTGAATGAAGCACAATTTGAGTTTTGTACATTATGCCCAGTTATGTGATTAGCACAGAAATGTTTTTTTTTTCCTTTTTTACTTTATCAAAATACGTGATTCAGCTGCTAAGAAGCTCACATTTGGCCACAAATGAACTTTGCCACAGGAAATTGGCATAAAGCATACTTCAAAATCCATTCATCCATTTTTCTAAACCACTTTACCCAGTATAGCGTCAAGGGGAATGCTGGAGCCCAATCTGGCAGACAACAGGCACAAGATGCCTGGATGGGACACCTGCCCATTGGTGGACACACACATACAGTACACTCATACCAATTAACCCACCTCTTTGGAATGTGGGAGGAAACCGGAGTAGCCGGAAAAAAAACACTCTTCCATTGGGAGAACAGAGTCTACAAGTTCCATGCAGATTGCATTGGCAGGAGTTGAACCCAAGGTGCCGTGAGGCAAAGAAGCAATACAAACCACTGCACCACCGTGCCATGCTGTATGCCTCCCAATTGACTGGTTAAAGGAGCATATGATCAAAATTATTGATTGACATCACCACCTCCAGACCTGGATCCAATAGAACATTTGTGCCTTAACTATAGGTAATAAATCACTAACTGCAAAATATCCAGGAGCTGGGAAAATTCTGCATGAAAGAATGAAAATTCCCTATTGAGCAGAGCCTTGTCATTGCTATTTGAGCCAAATTACTGATTGCCTTGGTGTTGTAGCGGCAAGGCTTCTTAAAAATACAGGAATTAAGTTTGCTGCTCCCTTGCCAGTCTCTCTCTCCCTCATCTCAGTGGTGCAGGATACAGAGAGAGAGAGACTGGCAAGGGAGCAGCAAACTTAATTCCTGTATTTTTAAGAAGCCTTGCCGCTACATTTCTAGTGTAGAAGTTGTAATCAAAGTTCATTTACGAAACGGTATAAATGAATGGAATACTGACTGTATGTCCCTCTTGGTATTTGTAACTCTTCGTGATTGAATATATACCTTTTGTATTCTGCTAACCCTCACTCTTAAGATCTGTTATGTTTATATGCACATTTTATATGTATTAATAAATGTATTGTCGTGTATTAGTATCCGTGTGTGTGTGTGCTGCCGAGTTATCCCGCAAGGTCGGTTTTCTAATAGCCATCAAAGAATCATTTTGTGACTTACTGCTACAATTAATAATTGTCCCAGTAAATGCACAAAACCCCTACAGTGTCAATAGCTTTGAACAGCATCAGTTTAGAATAATATGTAATTATTTCTCGTTTTAAAACATTTTTATGTAACATATAGTGAATGCATACTTTCATATCTTTTCCAAAAAATCCCAATTTCAACGACATTGTAGTTATGGATGAGAATTGATTTGGCGCTAACTGTAGTACGTTCTTTACAATACATCTGAACTTTTATTGGACTGATCAGGAAAATAAAATGAATTGAACATGTGGACCTCTTGCACTATTATAAGATTAAACACATTGTCAGTAACCAGAAGGATGAAAATATCTAAAAAATGCTGGTGAGAACTTCATCTTTGCAATGCAACATTAAAGCAGAACATGATGATGGCAGTGCTGTGTACATATGACACAGAATATGTACTGTGTGCTGTATATGACAGAATGCAAGCCAATTGAACAGGACTCAATAATTGGGTATTAACACTTCAAACACATTTAATTTGTATGAATAAAAAACATATTAATATAATTACTATATTAGCAAAAAAAAAAGTATTCACACCAATTTTCTCAACACTATTTCCTCAGTAGTTCGGCTTCCTTCAGGACCCATTACGGGCTGCAATTAGAGATGCGTTAAAGTCAGACTGCAGCATCTTCATCAGGTGCAAGTCGGGATTTTTTTTTACATTTCTGCTGGAATGTTAAATCCTAACCAATCTATTAAAGTGTGGGATCAGCTGTGATTTCTGGCTGCGCTGCAGGCACGTGTTAAAAGAACATGCATCTAGACTCCCAAGCCTGTGCTGTTACAATTTAATTGTTATGGAATTACCTCCATCCGTGATAATAAGTACCACTCCCCCCCCCATCACAGACTGCGGGCTTTACTTCCAATTTGACCCTCAATGGGCCAATATGATAAAAGAAGTTGTTAGAAGCTTTATTTTTTTTCCAAGAGCAGTTTCCAGCAAATACTCTTTTGGAATCGAGCTGCTCATTATTAAAAATGTCCATGTTTTGTAACACACCGATTCCACAAACTCCCAGTCCAATAGTTTCCTTTGACTTCCGGTTTGACAGGTCGTTTTAAATCGCCTTTAGCTTCTACACCCCATTTGAATAGTACAATTGTTTGCCTTTCTGATTCACAGAACCCCTGTGCTTTGCTATTCTATTGTGTAAATTCTACCGTCTGCCCATATCATTCCCAACATCCGCATTTACTTTCCTGAATCTAGGTTCTAAGTCCTGGGTACCATTTCCAGGATTAATCTTCAAAAGCTTTGTTTTTTGGTATTCAGTGATTTTTAAATTACTTAATTCATGTGATGTGAGAATGGTACAATTCAAATTAGAAAAAAATAGTGAATGCATAATTAGAATATATTTTGTTTTGTGTATTATTAAAATCTGTATTAGTCCACATTATAATATAGACTTCCAATAACATTTCTGAATTAAAACACTTGATTAAATTATTTCGATTCAATAACACTTTTATTCAGCTTAAATTGCTCTTGCCACAGTATTTATATTGGTAAAAATATCCTGACACATGTCCACAGACAGACAAACATGAACGGCTACCCATAACTCTTTTGTAATTGTATATGAGAACTGAAGAATCAGAATAATTGAACAAAATTGATTGTCGTCAAAAACTAAAATAGCACCACACCTTTTTTCCCCCCTATAAACCATCCTGTTTTGTACTTCTAGAGTCATCTGTCATTTCCCTTTCTGCAAGTATTGTCTGTACAGTGACCCAATTCTGTCCTTTACTCCATGGTTTTCAGTTTTCTTCCCAGATTACATTTTTTAATGTAGTGTAATTAAAAGCAAACCATCTTTGAGCCACGACAACCAGCTTTTGGGTGCCAGATCATTGTGTCTGTCTTGACTCAGTAATGTCAAAGTCTTCAGCTGTTTACACCAACAGTAAATAGTAAACCATAGTACACTCGTTTCATGGCAGTAATGGATGTAGGACCTGACCTGACTGCATTCTAAATTAACAGACACCTGTTGTATGAAGCATTTTCTGGAATAACTGAAAGGTGGGGGTCATCTTATCAGCAACAGTGTGCCATGTGTGCAAATATTTTGTATTTTGCAATGATCATGTCTAAACATCCATCCATGGTAGTAATAGAAAATAACTACAGCTGTACTTAAGACTGCAAAATATTGAAATCATGATTGGATTCAGAACACTATGGGGGGATACACCTTATGTGCGTTTCCATGGATATTCCCCGGAAAGTGGTCTTTTTCATAAATTAAAGCTCAGTTCAAAGTTTTGCTTTGAAAACGGCACTATAACTTCTTGCAACCTCTACACAGCGGCACAAAAGCCATTGATGAATGCTGTCATCTGAAAAATGTTTGCTCAAGAAAATTTTGCAGTAATTAGTAAGAGTAACAGGTTGTCCCAACACCTTCACCGCCAATATCTTTGCAAATCTGCAATAGTTACACCCATGAAAAACAACCATGTACACTTTGGTTATAAAACATTAACTGAGAAAGAAGTGAGGATAAGTAAAGCCACATTCTTCTTCAGCAAAGGAACTTGTCCTCAGCTGTCCTTAAACTGCGATTATGTCAGAACAGGAAATTCGAATCCACCCAAGGGGATGTCCAGATTCCACTGTGGAAGAGGAAATCAAGACTTCATCATATCTGCCACACTTTGTAAGACATATTACATACTGTATAAGAAACTAAAATAGGCTAAATAAATTCTCTCTTAAGAAGCCTGGGTTTCCAAGCAAGGATACTTTCATAAATCTGGAAACTTTTTTTGTAAACTTGAAAAACAGTAAATCAATTCTCACAAAATTCTATAAATTTGCCATGATTTTTAAGATCTTGAACTGAAGCCAGTTAATTTACAGAGTAGGTGTAAAACAAAAAATTGAAACCACAAATAATGATTTGATACTTTCACATGTAAGAGCTATTAATTTGTTTACCTGAGTGATTGAAAATCCCTTCTGTGACTTGTTTAATTCTTCCTCAGAATGGTTCAATTTTAACTCTACATTACATAAATCAGAATCAACAAGTTATAGATTTTATTTATTCTGCAGTTAGGGCAGAACCCAAGATAAAAGTGTCTAGATCTAAAAAAATTGCAAGGGACATGCTGAGAATTACCAGTTAATAAACGGATATTCGAATAACTAGAAAAAACAAAGTAATTGACGCAGATTCGTTAATATCAATATTGAAGCACACTATACCATCTATAATACTGCACCAAGCTATAATTGTGAAACAAAAACTATAGTCAACAAAATGGTGTGTTGAATGGATAATTTCTCAACTGAAGAAAATTGCAAGGACCAAAGGTTTGTGTTTGCAATTTGGTTTATCTTTGCAAGTTTTTTGCTATTAATGATTGACACATTTTATAAAGTAGTAGGTATGTATGACACTCACTAATCTATTGTTCAAAAGATGTTTACATGAATTCACATTCTAAAGTTTGAGAACCAAAACCTTGAAGAGAATTGATTTGAAAAGGTGTGTTCAATAAACAATACCTTTTGCAAAATAATGTCCACACCAACATCACTGGAATACTATTTTTTTAAACCTGGTTAATTTTTTTAAATTGTAATTTTAGAATTTCAGAATGCAAGTAAACTAGTTGTATTTTAACTGAATTTACTTTCAGTATCTGCATGAAATTGTAAATCTGAGACATTAGACAACTAGATCAACTTACCTGAATTAACATTTCAATGCTTCCTTTGACAATTAACTACCTCATTCAAGAAAAAAAAAAAGAGCACAAAACTACAAGAGACTAAACCTTAAAAAAACAGTCAGTTCAATGTTTAACATCAAATCGTTTACCAATATCTCAAAACATGGCTACAAGAACACATTTATCTAAATCAGTAATACAAAAGTGAATTAAACCTGAATAGTTTTGTTTTGCAAAATGCCCCATTTTTGTGCTGTCAAGTACGCAAATTTACCTTGCATTATCATTTTCTTAATTTAAACTTACTGTAAAATGTTAAATATGAAACCACTGAAATTCTAATACATAATAAAGTTAAGCTTTTTGTTAATTTAGAAACCAAATGGTAATTAAGACTTCCTTAACTCAAGGAGCAACACACTGTTAAGTGAAGCAAGTAATTCTTCTGTGAGGCAGAAAAAAGTCAAATTATACTTGTTGCCAAACATACTAATTTAATACACTTCATGGTAACATCTGATAAAAATTGACATGTTTAGTATTGCAATCTATTCTTCAAAATTTATTGCACATTAAAAGTACACTTACAATATTCTCCTTTTAAGGCAAGATATTAGTTGGTTGATAGTGTGATCCTCTCAGAAATCACATTCTCAATTTATCTGACAGTGCTTAGAATGCAATTCAGTGAACAGTGACTGTTTAAATGGGTTCCTTTTTGTTGGTGGCCTCATTATTCCTCTCAGCGAAACAGCTAAATTTAATTTCCCATCTATGTGAAAGCCTAGTTTTTGAATAAGAAACTATAAGCTTTTTAAAATATAACAGTGAAATGTCAGAAATTTAATTTTTCTAAAAAAATCAAACACTTCCCATCTGATGAGATGAGCTTTGTACATAAAAAAGATGCTCAATTTTAAACTAATTACGTTGATGATTGCTTTCATGTGTTCAAGTTTAATTTTGATTTGTATTTATTAAAAAGTTTAAATTTCTCCTAACAGTAGCTGAGCCTTCTGTAAACTCTTTATGGATTTGTAATTGATGGGGGAGATCATTAAATAGCACAAGTACACAAAACATAAAAAATGTTTTCTACAAACAGCACAATTTCACATCTGCATGTTAACTAAATCCTTCTGGTATATTTATTTAAACATTTCATATACTGTATATACAGTGAGAACACTGTAGGCTGTAAAAATCTGCAGCTCTATTGTTTAATAGCAGCAAAATACTATATAAAAACCAAAAACAAAACATGTTATTCGCCAGACAATAAATAATCTGTCTCTTTGGATGATGTAAATGTTAGGAAGTTGATGAAAAGCTGCAGGGTTATAATGTAATTTCTATTTTACACAGCTTATACACAAATATATATGAATTCTTTTGTCTATATTTGTACAAATACAACAGTAGTTTGTAAAATACATTTAAGTAAAATATACATGAGTAGCAACAAGTCCATTATCACAGGATGGCATTACTGAAATGTGATGAGTAAAAACGCAGCTGGAATGCAGTTTCCCTCTTAAATCAATTGCTCTGCATCTCACAATTGTTTTCTCGAACTCCATGAAATGTTCATGTATCAGGTCTTCTTGAAGCTTTCATTCAATTTTCTTCAAGGAGTTCTTTAGCACAATAATCCCCATCTCATTCCCTCCTGACAACGGCTTCAACAGGGAATCCATTTGCAGACACCCAGCCTTCTTGGGCAGTATGCACAGATGTCCTCTCAAGTGTACAAGGATATATTGTGATATTACAGATAAGTCCATAGTAGACTACAAGAAGTCACAGTACAAAAATATATGATACAACTAAGCACAATCTCTGTCCAATCAGCTTAATTTGATATTTTGTAAAAATAAAGTTCTGAACAAGAAAAAGAGGTCTGTAGCACCACAAGGAGCATTCTGAAGTATACATTAGCAGCTTGATCCAATACCAATATATTGCAGGAGTGTTTCTAAGATACACATTCAATATGGTTCACGTGTACCACTGAAGCTTATACTGAAAGTTTTAATGAATTGCTAAAGGTCTGTGTAACTCACATGAGGCTCACAATATTTTAAAAAGCTATATTCTTGCAAAAAGCATGATACACAACGCTCTGCGATTAAAACCGTAAATAATTATATAACTATATACTGCAGAACACATACATTTCCCAATTTTTTTCTAAGTATAATCTAGTAGGAGTGTTCAGATAGGTTGAACTCCACAATGAAATAAGAGAGTTCATTTTCTTTCGTGAAACTCACAATCTTCCAAAAAATAAACCTTTTTCACCTCTGAATTTTCTTAGCAGTTCTGGAATTTTTCATAAGTCAGGCATTGATCATAATTTTAATAAATATCAAAGTGTAGCACTTCATTTGACATCTCACACTTTGTATTATATGACCAATCTTTATCACTGCTTTTTCAATTTACACAAGTACTGTTTTGATGAGTCTAATTCTAACTCATGACAAAACTTCAGCCTCACATGAGAACAAGCACATGAAATGTGACAAAATAGTCCCAAATGTCAAACTTCTAATTAGACAACTTATTCAGATCTTTCATGGCATTATTAAAAGCACCTATAGACCAAACAAACTTGCATTTCTTAAACCAAATTCTATAACTGTTTGCTTAATACTGCTCCAGACAGCATGGACTTTGATAAGCAATGTTAATTTTTAAGGGTTGTCCACTACCATCTACATTAAAAAATGTATTTGAAAGTGAAAAGTAAAAACAATCTTACTAAAAAGGTGTGAGGACTCTTGACAGCCCACAGAGTCTGCCTGAACTTTGAGGCAACAGTTCAGACGACTAACACACAAAGCAAGAATAAACAGTTTCAGGCAGTTTTCTCTAGAGACAGGCTGACAGAAGAGAGGAAGGTAAAATGAAAGAGAATAATTTAATAAGAGAAAATAATCTGAAGGTGTCATTACACTAGACACACAATAAGCACTATAATTATGTCCTAGTATTCTGGAATTCAAATGTTGCTTCTCCAAGTTCACTTCATGATGAGATAATCAGAAGTTCACCCACAGATGGAGGTAGACTTGACTTCTGATTTCATGCCATTAAAGGACTTTAAACTGTTCAATAACCTAAGAACTGAACAGATCTTCAATTGCTTAATTCACCCAGGGGCTGCATATCACCGATTGATTAGTTAGCTGCAGTAAAATATAGTAATGACAGGGAATCCATGTGCCAAAGTCGATTATCCCCAACTGCACCCTTCAGAGGAGCAAGGAAAACTGAAATTTGTAAAATAATTAAAATGACAAATATTTGATACTTTCAAGTGAAGAATCTGTGGATTGAATATTCATAAATGTAAAATCAGAATATTTTAACCTGCCATTTTTATTCATTAAAAATGTTGTGTTCTCTATTTTGCTATAAAACACTTTCATGTACTTTTCTCATGCACAGAGAAAATTAAACAATTTTATACTTAAATTGTTTCACTTTTCAATTGGTTAAATGGGGAGAGAAAGGTTACCTTGAGCATACACTTTTAAAGCCTCAAGTGAGAGAGACAGAAGTTTTGTGCAAGTTAAGCAAAATGACACTTTGATAGTAAAAACACTGTAAAACCTGTACCTGTAAAAAAAGTTTTAGCATTTTATATACAAATGTTAACTTTCTAAAGAGCTAAATATACCAAATCTAATGGCACATAACATTTAGAATAAAGGATCTTATTTTTTCTTAAAAGCCTATGAGGCATCTGATTTCAGAAAGTGCTATAATTTAAATATGCCTTATATAGAGGATTACCAAGCATTTTTGTAAAACCACATACTCTCAACAAGATACACTTATAGCACATTTAAAACCCACTTTAAAAACATACAATAAAAAACATTCATCAAAACCTTTCTAAAAATAGAGATGTGGCTCATTATATACACATATAAAAAACCTTATACAGGGACAACATAGAAACATTTAATCAGGACATGAGTTCTGAACAGGAAGGAATAAGTGTAATAGATTCAGAGGAAACTAGTCTAGGGATGTTGAGCTGTACTTGCAGAGAGTCTGACTGCCTGCTATAGATGGTGTAATGTTATCCTTTAGCTGTGCTAGATTAACAATACTGCCTGGATGATGAAACGTTTAGAAATCTACACACATAAGGGTCATTCAAGAATGACTGAGAAGTATCCTTACAGTGACACTCCCCTTTCTTGCCATATTATCCTTAATGTTGAAAGATGTTTGTCCATGAAAACATCCAAAATAAAAAAAAGCATCAATGTTTTCTACATTGTTCCCTCTACAGGAACGGGATCCCAACAAGTGCTCTTTTAATTAAGAATTACCCTGCATACTACAGACGTGCGTGTACATGTTACTAAACCTGTATACACATACACATGAATGTGGTAAGTTACTGTTATCTGTTCAACAGAAACAAAGTACTGTACATGGAAAAACCTAAAGGAAGAAGAAAGTTACTTTTGCCAATTTCCTGAAATTTATGCAAAGCTAAGAGCACAGACAGTGAGATCTGTGCCACTGCACTAAAAGTGAATGAGGTTCAGAGTTGTGTATGAGGTCCTTCTTTGCAGATCACCTGCAAACCCTCCTCCCTTTATATTAAGCTAAGACACTGACAAATGGCATTGATAATACAGAATATTGATCATTACAGGATAAATACTACACTATAACAGCTTAAAAAGTACCAAATCCAGATTAGGGTATCTCATGTTCTATGAACTTTTACATAATGGTCAAATTATTGTATTCATATTACAATTTTCATATTTAATCACTGCAAAAAATTGACTGATTATATATTTACCTACCAATGCAATGTTTCTTGCAAAGAAATTATGTTATATACATTTAAAAAGAAAAAAATATATATTTTGCAAGCAGAAACACTGGGTCTCCCAGGTGCCATTATCTGGCTAGGTAACAATCACAAACATCTAGACACACACAGACAAACTTTAGAGTGAGCAAATAAAAAAAACAAAGCATGATCAACACTATAGCAGCCTGAAGTACCAGATATTTCTGGCATGTAAATTGGCACGATCCAGCAGGAGCCAACTGAATTAAACAGAAATTGTTGCCCAATTCCAATTTTAGGAGTCTGATGGCAGAACCTGCTGTACATTCTTCACTTACTGTGTCTCACACAAGAAAGACCAGGGAAGTCAAACATCATGTCTCTTACAAGCACAAAACAGCCAAGTTACTAAGCCATTTATTGGTTAGAGAGATTTTCTGTGAGGCCTGAAAAAATAAGATTCTACTAGTCCCCAAACAGAATACTCAATAGATTTGTAGACGTTATCTTATTTTTGCCATTTGTGTGGACCCTGCGATGGACTGGATCCCTTGTGCCCTGTGCTTCCAAGATAGACATGAGTTTCCATGACTTCTGGGGAATAACTGAACTTCTGGTCATGGATGGATATACGGGACTTTATTGGCAGGATGTTTTTATTTCCCTAAATAGGCATCACTGTTACTGAGGAAAGTGATTAATTCAATTTACTCAAATACAGCAGAACTGTACTAATATAGTGAAGAATTAATAACTTTCAATCTAAAACCTAATAATTGAAACTTGCATTAGTACAATCCCTATAAAGACCCATTAGTGAGCAATGGTCCTCTTACAGTGTCTCTCCTATTCTAATTCAGAGATTCTTAAAAAATAAATTCAGATTCAGAGCAAACATGGTTCCTGAATTTCTGCCATCAAAACCTTTTAACAATATTTTAATCTTTTAATTACTGCTTGGCTGTAGATACGATGGTATGGAACCCATTTTCCAAAAGCAATTTTAACTCATCTGTACAAAGCTGGCTCCTTTGGGACCTGTAAATAACCACCCATAGACGTGCAGAATATTAGTATTTAGGCAGTGTCATCAACTGACAGTTATTTTATTTCACTGTTCCAATAGATCTAGACAAACTATTATGTGGTATCTCGGTGCAAGCAGTGGTCTAATTTATGTGTGGCATCATTTTGCTTCTTCCCCCCTTTTGCTTTTTTGTGAGATACGGTGAATCACTTTTTGCACATGTATTGATACAAATGAAATGTAAGTGAATTTAAAAAACTGTTTGGGTGTCATTGGGATCTCCGATATACATACAGTGAAAGAGCTTTATTCAGAGGAATCCTCTTAAAAGGCAAGCATTCAGCCCAAAGGCCCTTTTCTGAGGAGTGGCCAGGGGTGTACAACAAACTCAGAGCAAAGCCTGGGAGAGAACCTGCAGATGCAACTGGTAACATCAAAATTGTTATCATTTTCTGTTTAAAAACATAATAAGAAGCTGAACGCTTGATGAGGTAACATCCTTCATTAATTCTGTTAGCTGCATTTTTAATGCATAATTTCATGTTGGCCCATAAATTGTCTTGCGCTAGTTATTACTTTGTTACATTTACAGACGAACATCAGGGAAACTAAAATGTCAGTGTCAACTGATGCCATTTTAAATATATATTCTGATTTAAAAATAGTCATTATATTGCTTATTTAATTGAATAATAAGAGTGACACAGTAAGTCAGAGAAACAAATTCGGAAAATACCAAATTCACTTCCTACGGGTCTTTTCAGACTTATGTCAACCATCTGTGGAAAAAAGTGCTAAACTTCAAAAGCAAACATTATAAATAAACTATTTACACTATTTTATAAAAATAGTGCTTACAATTGCCCGTTTTAGTGATGGGCATGTGTGTTTTGAATTCATAGTTTCCTGCGCTCTGCCTTCACAAGTTGATCAGCTTGTGTTTTGGAACACACGTGCAATTCTCCTATGACGCCTCACTAGTGCTTGTGGACCCTACCTGGGTATGGAACAACATTCAGCAGGCAGTCAAATGACTGTGTACGCAGTGCTGCCTATGTCCGAATGTAGTGATGACACTACCCACATATTAATATCTAGCTGAATACAGGTTGAACAATTAAAAAAGGGACTCTTTTTTCCCCCCACTGTTTATGTGTATGGTTAAGCACAAACACCCCACACAGACACATACATGCACAAACTAAGTGACTGCAGGTAGGCCAAACCACAGTTTTGCAACCTTCTGCACATTCTCCCAAATGTTAATAGTGGGATCAGCATTTCTGTATACATTTTATAACTTTTCCAACTTAATAAAAAAATAAACCTCTCTCTGCATGAGAGGAGAGACGTTATTAAGTGATCTCTTGAGGAATGAACACTTGTTTATCCTGGAACTACACACTGGCAAAGCGCGAGTAGAGGTTAACGGTGTGGCACTGCCCTCTGCCACCTACCTTACACAAGGTAGCAACATGCTTCAACGTTGCTCAGACTAGATAAGCAATGCTATGCGGTCTGTTTCCGGCCCAGAATTGGTACAAGGCACTGTCGGAAAGAATGCGTACTGGGGTATTTTCTGGGAAGCAGTTAATGAAAGCCACAATTATCCCCAATAGGGTCTGTCTTCAGGGACTGGCTCCACAAAAGGTGTGAGCTATTAGGGGAACCGCCTTCCACAAAAACACTGCTCTCTTTTTAGATAAGCCCCGGAAAATCCATCCCACTAGGGATAAACGCTGAAGTTTACACAGCTTCTTCACAGACTGGCAACCATCTCCACCAAATGGCTCAAAATGAACCTTCACCAAACAGTGCTGGGACATCGCCACTCTGCCACAGCCTGGGCAGTGACCCCACAGAAAACAGCCTAAAAAGATGGAAGCTTTCATTGACTCTGACTACCTCTTGTAATTTATCCGTCAGGTAAAGGCTGCAAAAGGACGTCAGATTTGCTGATCTTGTCCACACAGAAGGCAAGCACTTTGCCGCCTTGCATAGTTTGATGAATGACACCATAAAGGATAAACTTCTCGTACTCATTTTAACAGTATGAGTATGCTCCAGAACAAGCAGGATCTCCTTCTAAGCTTATACGTCTACTTAATGTCTAGTCTCTGTATAGCTCTATATTGAAATGTAAAAGCACAGCAATCATATTGTTTCTACTAAGCTATCATATTTCAAAATGTAAGTGTCTGAGGAAATTGAGCAGCATCATATATAACAATGAATCAAAAACAAAGCAGAACATTCTACTTGGTTATAATACATATACATTTTTGCTTTGGTTTTGAAGAGGCTTACCAAATAGATTTTAAAATGTCACACAGGGCTTAAAAGTTACACTTTCATACAACTAACCTCTAACATTCAGAAGATATAATAAGCTCTAAAACTGCAAAAAGTGAAGTGCATTTAGGCCACACAAAGTTCAAAGTGCTATATCAGAAAATAGCGAGAACTAAATAAAATTAACTTTCTCTAGCGCAAAGCTACTGAAAAGCAGGGAGGCTGATACCTGTAGCAATCTTTTCACGGCAATCGTATTTGTGGGGGCATTCATTTTTATCGGAAACCTCTCCAAATCCAAAGTTAATTACAAATCCATGTATTTTACCGGCCGAGATCTACCTTGAAAAGGCATCTCCCTCTTAAGTAACAGGTAGTGGTGGCTTTTCGTCATTAAAGCCTTTCAAAAGGGTATTGACCTGCCAGTTTAAAGGCAGACTTTCTTAGGATAATGTAAAACAATCTATGCATTGTACCTTTCAGCCAAAGCGCATTTCCATTTAAAAAAAAAAAGATTAAGAAAAAATATTTTAAACGAACATTTTAAAATTTCTTACTGGCTTAAAAATATATATAACATTTATTAAATGCGTTTGGCTGATAAAATAGCTTTTTGTCTGGCAAAGGGCCTCAAGGGGTTACTGAAAGGCTTGGTGAAATCGAGGCAGGGTGGTAGCTGTGCTTAAGTTGGATGTAAAGTTGGATGAAGACAGCCCATGAAGTGGGCCGATGCCCACACCACTCCCAGGGTCCTGAGACTCCTGGGACTGTGAAGGCAGCTGGGACAAAGAAAGAGCTTCCTCTTGAGTGTAATTGATCCCTAGGCCTCCCACAGAAATAGACTGGTTATATGGAGGGCCATTTAAAGGCAGGAAGTTAAAGAGTTGAGAGAAGTCTAAGGAAGAGGAGTTAAGAGGTTCACTTGCAGAGGCGGAGCCAGAGATTTTTGTCAGAGAAACATCAGATGTTTCATCCAGCGCCCCAACCTGGGACTCTAAGTCTAATTTAGGACCAGAGCCTTGAGTATCCTGCGATGAAGAGGGCATATTGGTTTGTAATTCCATCAGATAACTTTCTATTTCTCCCTTTAATGGCTGTTCTTTTTCTGGCATAGAAATGGCATATGAGGTAGAACCAAGCTGGTATTTTAAAGAGAACTGGTGGGAAGGATGGACAGCAGAGTCCATGTCAAGGGGGCACGTCATTCCCAAGGGCAGGCTCGTCGAGACCATTTGGTGCGGCGGGCCGCTGTTCTGCATGGACTGGATCTGAGTGTTGTAGATATTCAACTGCAACGTGTTGGCAAATGGCTTGGAGGCAAGTTCACTGGAAGATATCGACATCATTGAGTGGAGCTCGTCTTTGATCGGCACAGTGATGTTACAAGTGAAGGGGTCTAAAAGGTCCATCGGCTCCGTTTTTACCTTTAGTAGTTCCTGCGTGTGGCTTTTCTTCATGTGGCGGGTTAGGTGGTCCTTCCGGCCGAACCGCTGGGCACAGTACTGGCAGAGAAAGTCCTTCCTCCTGGTGTGCACCACCATGTGCCTGCGAACGTCCTTGCGGGTATAAAAACGGCGGTCACAGTGTTCACACTGGTGCTTCTTCTCTTTGGTCCCACCTGAAGATTTCCCAGCGTGGCTCTTCAGATGCTCCAGTAACACTCCTGTGCTCGAAAACGTCTGCAAACAGACCTTGCAAGTGAGGTCACCGTTGTTTGCAGCATGTAAGGCCAAATGACGCTTGAAGCCAAGCTTTGTATTGTAATTCTTGCCACACTCTTCACACTTAAACGCCTCTTTGTTTGGATCATGCGTATGAAGGTGATTCTTTAGGTGATCCTTGCGGTGAAACATTTTCTCACAATAATTACACTTGTGGGTTTTCTCAGGAGAATGAGTAGCCATATGCCTTTAAACACAGATATATTCTGTAAGCAGTTATATTCGAGCAATTATTCATTTATTGTTTAAAAAATATATATATGCAGTGTGCATTTAAGTGGAAATAGACATCCATGCTTTCTGCGAGTCAGCTAGAAAGAAAACCTATGTAGTTAACTAGTCTTTAAGATAGAAACCACTTAAAAGTACCAGTTGATAAACTTAAGCAACAGCTGCACTAATATCAAGTGTAAAACTATGATTTAAAAATTAACTAAAAAAATTCCAAGACAAAGAACATACCTACATCAAAACTCTATACAGTACTTTTTAATGAACACAATACTTCTGCTCTTTCAACTGTTAATTGTTTCAACATTAGAAAATCGACTAATGTATCACGAAGAGGTAGGTCTTAGGTTGCTAAATATTGTATCTGGGAGAAAAACAACTCATAGAATTCTGCCCATAATTAAAATGCACCCTTCTCACCATATACAAAATTATGGCTAATCTGTGGTACATACAGTATGCCTATCAAGCACTAGTTACTGAAGCAGAGCTTCAAAGAGAACGCAGTACCTTAGCAGCTTGTACTTAGAAACAAAGGCCTTGGTGCAGTCTTGGTGTGAGCACTGGTATGGTCTTTCTCCTGTGTGAGAATAAGAATGCACCTTCAGTTTCTCGACACTGTTAAAGGCCTTATCACACAGCTGGCACGGAAAGTTTTTCCTGGGCTTGCTTTCACCTCGCTTCCGTTTCCCCGTGGATGACGGGACCTTCTGGGTATCCTTAACTTCTGCTAAATCCCCAGGTATTACTGTGGCCATCGCAGCCTAAGGCAGGCCTTTACGTTGGACAGCTAAGCAATGCCCAACAAACAATCGTTCTGCTCTGGAACAATTCTCCAGTTTCATGTGGTCAACACAGCAAGCACTGGGGGCCTGAAAGAAAAAGACAAATAAGCATTAGAAATGAAACTAGACCAACAAAAGCTTACTTCAATATTAAAAATACAAATCAAAGAGGGTGCAGGAACAAGGGGATTTAAATACTACTTTACGGAAAAATAATATGAACAAGTTCTGTAAAAGTTAAAACAAGATGGGGACTAGTAATGGCAGGTTAACATTCAACTTTGAAATGGGCATTCTGTTTCCATAAAAGCATCCGGGTCTCATTTTAGATGCAGCTGGAAGCATGAAATATAACACAAACCACTCTTCCAGCGTTTCCCCCAAACCACTTTATCCATGGGGAAAAAAATAAAACGAAGGGTTTTGAAATAATTTAATAGTCCTGTCAATGTCATTTCTTAACCCTGACAATCGGTACTCTTCAGCTTCTCCTATTTTAAGAGATACACCACTAATGCAGTACTAAAAATAATGATCAAACATTTTTGCATTCATAGTACCATTTGTTTAAGGCACACCTGATGGCAGAACAATGCACTCTTCTGTGTTGTGTTAACCGGTTCACCTAAATATTCTTGATGATGACCAGAAAGTAACACTTCCCATGTCTGTGAATCTAGGAAAAAAAATAGCAACAATTGTTAATGACTTCAGTAAATACTGCTTCAAGTCAATTCAGTTTAAGTGGTTTTTGTACAGATGTTTCTAATGCTATATAGTCCATTACATTCATACTGTTGAAGGCATTTTAACATTAAAAAAGCAGAAATTTGCACATAATGTAAACTATGGCAGGTTTCTCAGTACTTTCATGGTCAATGTAAATTTTCTGTATCCTGTCTGAAAGATAGCATCCTCCATAGAGTCAAAAGCCAATGAAACTGTTAAAATATACTGGGAATGGGGTGGGACAGTATCTTCCAATATTTAACACTTATATTGTATATATTACAATGTGGAAAAACGTTTTTCACCCTCTAACAATGCAAATAGTTATTCAGAGGTCCATGCTTTTACTTTGAATCTTTTCAACACTAGTTGAAAAGACTAATTTCAAATTTGATGGACCTAAGACTCAAATTCTAATTGGCGGAGACAAAAAAATTAGAGTTCGGTTTTTTTTTGTGTATGTGTATGTGTATGGGGGAAGAAGAAATGGCAATAAGTAACATTTAGGTTTCTTAAAATGTTATTTTCCAGCAATATTTACACATTCCACAATAGTGCACACCCCTATGTACTCAGCTGATACACCACTGGGAACTAGAATACAAGCCTTTCACGGTCAAGAATGGGGCTTTTTAACTTGTAAGGCACTCAATATAACTTATTTTTCTAAAAAGCTGTCTATACCAATGACTCCCAAAGACCTTTGCACATACAAAGGGAACCACTCGACCCACTGCTGAAGAGCAGTACCCACATGAGTGATGAGCTACTGTCACTGCACACCTGTTGCTCCACTACACAGAACATCAGGGTAACAGAAAGCACTTGAGTTCACATCATAGGCGAGACACTGCTCTTATATCCTTGAGTGAAGATACTTCACTGTAGGAATAACAGCAAATGTGATGGGATTTGTATAAAGCAATCAGCCAAATAAATAAGGAATTAGAAGTTAGAAATTGTTTCTTTAAATCAGGGTGGCAAAAACAGGTTAGCCAAAAGTTAGCTAGCATAATTAATGGGGTTAATACCACACTTGTCAAAGAATGCCTTAAAATGCCATAAATTAGAGGGACTGGCAGAATATACATCTCTTTATTCACTTTAAAATTTCACAGAATAGTTTTCCCTGCATGAAACCAGCATACAGTACCCCTTCACCTTTTAAGAAAACTGTAGTTCAATTAGTATTTTAATTTTTTAAAATAGGAAATTAATTTGTCTTACCAATAATTTGGTAATGTAAAAATATAACGTTAAAATATTTTATGGACAACCAAAGTCCAGAAGAGGAAGGATTACTCTACATTAAGCAAACACAGATACAGAAAGAACTGGACAAAGGTATCAGAATTAGATCTTTGGGGATCTAAGTTCTTTCAAGGGTGATCTATTTTCATGGTTTTAAATGTTCACTGCTTACAAAGCAGAGTTACACAATACTAAGAATATAACGAATTTGCTATATACTTGCAAACTTTTACAAGATTAATTAAGAATAAATTTGGTTTTTTCAGCTGAGACTATCAGTAACTTCAGAAGATGTGATGTCTTTAGAACTGAAATAAAATTATACAAAGTTTCTACTTAGAAGTGTAGCCTAATCAATATTACATAAAATCAAGTGCTATTTAGAAAAAAGATAAATATTTTTCAGAAATTGTAATCAATTCAGTCTAGTGGCTATAATTATGTACTCTCCTGAAAAGCTCAAACATCAGGATATTAAATAATCAAATTCCAAACTGGATTATTTTCCTATTAAACATGAATAACTCAACTGTATTATTAACCTCTTATCCAAGACAACTTCCATTAAATAATAATATGATTTATTTAGGTGCATTATAAATTAGTAGCTATTTAAAGATGTAACAAATTGGTAGCTTATTAGTTTATTATTAATAGTTTATGATTTACACCAATCTCAGTAAGGTATTCACAGAAAGTATTACAATCCTGGGGTCATGATCTAACACTGACTGTGCAAAACCAGACAAATATGTACAGAAACATGAAAAATAACGGGCAACTCAACGAAATACGTTTTGCAGTTAAATGGTAGTAGCTAAATAACCCAAGGAAATTATTCAGCCATTTCTTTAATTATCCCAGGATGTTAGTTTCTGCAGAGAGACTGAGTGACATTGTTCCTGACTCCCACAACATTTAGTGTTAAGAGGTGCCTCCCGTTCTCTCTATCATCTTAACATAAATGCTGAACTTTTCATGCTTCTGATAATACACAACACAGTTGTGTACGCCATGCCAACTGCTGGATCTCGCAAAAAGCCCAAAAAGAAATGTTAAGCTTATTCAAAAATGCATTCTTTCATTTTACTTAAAAGCAACACAACTGGGGACTTTTAGCATGTCCATATATGGACATGCAACTGGGAGAAAGAAGGACAAAAACAAATCAAATCTCATCCTATCACAAAAGCTGCACCCAATCTACTTCACTATGAAATCGGTACCATTGGACTCAAAGTACTGTTAATGTGGCTACATAATTAAAATGGAAAAAAAAAGGATCTCCACATTTTCCCCACTATTCATTCTTATTTTCAAATCTAAGTTTCCTTAAATCGATCGTGCATTAATTAGTATTTTTTTGTACATGAATGCAATATAATTAATAACAGATTGATACAGTTAGCTTGAGAGTTCTTTGAGTAGCAGTTTTGAGGTGTTACTTCACTATTAACTTGGACCAGATTCTTCAAACCTTTATAAAAAACTTGGAATTTCAGATTGCTTTTGGGATTTTTTTCCCCAAATACTATTCTAACAGAGCAACAATAAATGAATGCTTAAATTAAATTTAAATTCAGATTGAATGCCTAAAGATTAATTTAATTTAATCTATCAAATTAAGACCGATTTAAAATTCTCCAAAATGCATTCAAATGTAATATTACACAAACTGTCAAAACCTACATATTTGCATTTAAATAAATGTCTCAAAGAAGTTTTTTGTAACAATGTGTAATTTTTTTATTAACTTACTAGAACAAAATCTGAAAAAAGCACTAACAAATGTAATATTTCAAGATTAACAATTTACTTTTGATCATGACAACAGAGTCTTGCAAATCAGCATAATATTAGATTTTGGTGTTTTTTTGTTGTTGCCTATAAGTACCAATTCATAAAATGTGTATTGGAGAAGCTAAGTGAGAAAACAATAGATTGCATGTCTTTTGAAACTGATTATAAAATTAAGAATTGTTGCAGAATCATTTTTAAATGATAAAACATTCAAATAACTAAACCACAAATTTACTGATAATATTTTTAAAATAAGCTCTATTCCTTAGTAGTAGGCATGTCTAAACAGTCTACAATTTTTATATTTAATAAATATAAACTAGTTATTTATGTGCCCCTGCAACATCAACAACCAAATAACATCGGTGTTAGTATAAATCAAAGAGCTTTTTACTGAAAACCAACAAATATTTCTTGAGTTATTGTATAAAAATATTATCAGAGCTTCGAGTAGCATTCTGAAAATGGTTAATATATTTCTTTTAAATGTGTTTACAAGACTTTATCCCAATGTATGAAGGAGACAGACTTGAATATTGAATTAGGCTAATATTTCAGGATTTCTACATATAATTTACAACGGAAAAACCATGAAGTCTAACATTATAGAAACAAAAACGTACCATTCAACTACAAAGGTGCTACAGAAACAAATTAAACTGTGTTGGGACATTTCAGCTGAGACTTAAGATGCCTGTAACCCATGCTCTAAACTCTGTGGTCTTTAGCTTCTTTAAATGTAAAAGTAGGGATCAAACCCAGCTTCAACATAGATGTCTCTGAAGTCCAGTCACTCTGGCAAAACTACCTATCATTTATCATAACCTCTTAGAGAAATTTAGCAAGTCGGCCTGAAACATGACTGAGCTTGTGACATTTCTCATTCCATCCCAGTTTAACCAATTCCCTTATTCTAAACAGTCCATTCTTCAACCAAATGAGAAGAAGTTTCCAACAACCGTTTACGGTAATTGTATTGAGGATGGTTTGTGGCTAGAATATGAAATGACGCAACAAATAACATCTCCCATAAAAGAAGAGTTCAAAAGTGGTAAAAAATAATTTCAAATATTTGTGGGTTAGAAACAGAAAGAAAACAAACCCAGTGTTTTGCTCTGTACAAGTCAAATTAATTGAGCAGAGTGAGGGCTTTTGAGGGCACAAAAGAACATTAAGCAGAGGAATGCTCACCTGCTACTAAAACAACGATAAAAAAAAATCAGCCTCATCGTACTTCAACGTCTAATCCCGATGTGCAGCCTATACATGACTTCAAGAAAGGCGTTTAGGTGAGGTGTTTTCTTGAAACATGCAGTTTTTAATTATCAACTAGGCATAGCTGACAACTGACAAAGTTATCACTACTGGCCATGTAGCAAACTTGCTTTAAAAGGTTAGATTTAATTAGGAATATTTTGGTTACATTTCTGAAGACGGCAATAAAATATTGCCCCAGAGAGAAACATATTCTAAACAATTCATCATGTGTCTGAACAGAAATGTGTTGAAGCAGTTTACTCAAATAATTTTCTGATAAATGTTCCTATTCTTTTGGGACTATTAAGCAAGACTGTATATTTTAGGTCCTCTGAAATCTTACATTACTATCACCTGAGGTATTAAAATGTAAATCTTTCAAGAGAAATTAATTGTTGCTCCTTTTTGAAATATTTCTAAAATGCATTCTTCTTCACCATGTAAAGATACTACAGGCGTTAATGAAATGTCTCAAGCTAAATAATGTATCTAAGCAATTAAAATTAATACCTTCTATTTGTAATCTGTAATAAAGCAGATAAGGTACTTAAAAAAAATACAAGGGGGATTCGTCACTTGTTATTAAGTTAACAAGACTCATAATGCAACCAGTTACTTTAAATGAAAACATTACATTTTAAAAAACACAGAATTAATTAACTAGGACTACCTCTACAGGACTACAGTAAGAAATTGCAATGGTGTTATTAACATTAATGTACAGTTATCTGTAAAATACTATCCTGACAGTGAAATGCAGAACTAATTCTGAGCCGGGATTCACAATTTATGTTGAGAGTATTTTATCCAGACAATTTCTGTATCGACAAACAGGTCTATTAGTTGCGTTGAAGAATGAAAGCTTTTATAAAAAAAGAATTTGAAAACTAGACAACACATGAGAATCTGCTGTCTCAAGAAGTTACATCCCTGAACAAAACAGTCGCACATTTTATATGACCAAGAAGAAAACACAAAGATCTTAATGTAAACCTGCTTTAAGTAGCACATTTAACACACAATTTTTTTCCATAATTAAAAATGTTAATGACTACAATTTTAAATTTAATAAAAAAAGTAGGAATTTTAACATTCAGAAGAATATTAATAAGACAGAACTTGTATTATGTTTTGAAAGAACACAGTTCACTTTTTTTATTCAGAAAATTAGAATACACAAGAAAATGTTAGGTTCTTCTGTAGCACAAAAAAAAATATTTAAGAGTAAAAGAATAAGCAAAAGTATTAGAATTAGATTTTGGTGTATCTAACATTTCTTTCAAAGGTGATCTGTTTCCCTAATGTTTTGTTTTAAACATCTTTGTAAAACAAATGTATAACAAATTGAGGCAAATTTCCATCTGCTGTGGAAAAAAAGTGATTTCAGATTATATAAACTTGGGGAAAAAAGCTTTTCTGACATTTTCAACAAGTGAATTAAGGAACCTCAAACTTAATTAGATCTCCAATCTAAAAAATGAATATATTTTGGGTAAAGCAAAACTAAGCAAATGTGTTTATAAATGCAAAATCTGTATAACAAAGTCTGTACCTTTATTGAACAATTTCCTTTAACCAATATTTGATTCACTCTCTAACAAACTTATTTCCACTAGACCAACAAACTCCTTTGAATATTTCATATAAACATATCACAGAGATGGAAAACGCAACACAAACGGGAAATTAATTTGGAGTTAAATGTCTGTGAAAAAAACAGTATTTTATTCTTCAGTTCTTAAATTTCACACTACAAATAGATTTACATGCTATTTCTCAAAAATTAACTATGCACAATTTTAAAACGTATTTCTTACTGTTGAAAAATGTAAAGAAATTTGTAGATCAATGGAACCTTATTAAAATATGAAAATAGCTTTTACAGGGCTTGCAAAATTGATCATTCTTATCTCAGTCATAATAAAAAAACAGTGGATAAGGGCAATAGGGATTGTCAACATTTTTAAATGTTTTCAAACTTTGTGATTCTAGAAGAAAAACTCTAACTACAGTTAAGTGAAAAACAATATTGACAAGAAATGAAACTTATGAAAATGTTAAAATATTAAACAAATGTGTATCCTCTGTTTTGTATTGGATTTTGACATGCCTTTTATTCTTTCAAAAAACACCTATTAGCTTTTAACAAAAAAAAGGAAGAAATATGTAAACGATACCGAAAAGATTGAGCAAACACATAACCAATACTTTACACCGTCTGAAAGTATAAATGTTAAAGCAAAAAACAGGCCTCAGATTAAGATGATGGTATGTGTCATTCTCAAACTCGTTTTAAAGAACCTTACTCACATTTTTAAAATCGATTCAGCCTATTTCCAGATTAAAACGTTTTGGGGACATCCCGAAAATTCTCTGTAGCTGTGGAAATGCGGAGACGTTTCTAGGTTCCCATTTAAAATAAATTACAATTAAGCCTTGATCAACTAAAAGTGGCCCGAGTAGTGCAGGGTAGCCCTCAGAGGCTGCTGTCTCTTTAAGATGCCAAACTCTGCTCGTTCCCACGTGAAATGAACATCACCACACTTCAAAGTATTGAAAACAAAACCATAGATCTTAATATTTTTGGCACCTTACGGAAAATTAATTGCACCAAAAGACATAAACTGCAAGTACAAGCTTAAGCACAGATTGTACGCATACTGGTTGTAGGAAGCGTGGCTCCAAAACGCGTGCAACTGGGCGCGTTGTGTAGTACAATGCATGTTAATTCAAACCACAGAAACCTAGCATTTAAACCCTTTTATCTACCAAATCAACGTACATATACATGATGTTACATCGACCCCACAGTGATCTCGGATCCTTTCTTAAAACCTAAAAATGCAGCAACACAACCTTGAGAACCTGCAAGCTTCTCTACCAAGCACCGGGACACGAACACTTCGACCAGTGTTAGGAAACCGATAAAAATAAAACATTACATCACGCAGGGCATTAGAAAAATGCTTTTGAAGCAGCTTATTTAATTGGGCTTTTTTTCTCAAGATGATAAACCAAGCAATTAAAGAATCAGAGTATGGATGAGGGAGGCATAAACGTCAGTAACTTGAAAAACACCGCTAGATTTTTCTTGCTGTGTGGAAGTATTGTTCCAGGGGAAACTTCTTGACAGAATAAGATTTAAAACGTACACCTTTCAAGGCAAATGTTTAGCCTAATTAGTTTCCCCTCAGGTCTGCCTCCATTTTGGTTGTTTAGGATATTGACAATCAACTTCTCTTATTCGTTCTTAATCTATTTCACTCTGCTGTTAACATTACTAGTCTCAAAATATTGCTCATGTGCAACTTTCACCACACAAAATGATTTTTTTTTACTTGATCTAGACGCTTTATTTAAATTAAAACACAGAAACCAAAGATCTTGGCTAAACTTAAGAAAATACCAACTTGCTTCAATCGATAGAGTATTGCATACTCGTTCGGTTCACCACACATAACATGTCAAAATTGAAACGCTATGCACGCAGCGTGCATTTTTAAATATTTTTCCCGATAATTTGGTTTGCATTCTCCACCGGACCCCTTCCCAGCACTGCAGTGATTATATTAAGGAAAAGTATTGTATTTAACTAACTTCCCAAAACTTTTTGCAACTTTTTTTCCTGCTCCACCAATTTTCCTTGATGCTTGATTTATATTTTTGAGTAACCTGACATGACACCAATTAATTAGATATTTTTTTACATTTTTTCCTTATTTTTCAGATCTTCCTTTGCCTTTCTCTGAGGTCCCAAACAGGGGGCTGATTAACACAAACTTTTTTCCCCCCTTGCTCACCCCTCTACCATAATTTAAATAACCCTGATATTTTAATTCAAGATGGAGATAACAATTTACTAAAATTGCTTCAAACTCACCGCGGGAGCCTTAACATCCTTTCTACGGTCTTTTTCTTAACTTTGAAGTATTTTCCGAATTTTTAATAATTTTTTTCTCATATTTTTTGCTGGACGCGGCGGGCCTGAAAATTGTTTGCTTTCCCCTCTTTCCAGCAGCCATTGTGTATGCGCTGCGGTGCAACCTAGCGTGGGCTCTAGACCACGCCCACCCGTAGCTCCACCCACCACGCCTTTCTGATTCGCTCACAGTGCTGTCAGTCTTCACTTTCGCCATTTACAGCGGGCACGGTTGCGGCGACACTGGCTTCTGACTCGTCCTCGGGCATGTCAATCAAACTTGAGCCTCGCTGCGATCATTGGCGGCGAAAGGCGGGAGAAGAAGAGGAGCTGCGAGCCGCTTGTGGCTGTTAGGCCTTTCAATCACGTTAATGGCTGTCAGTCTCCAATTTGATCAAACCGCGGTTGGCGCTTGTTACTGTCACTGAAAAAGAGGGCAGATCTAAGGCGAAGTCTGGTGGTTGTGTTGGTAAATGACGTCCTGAGTGTGGTTTGAACGTGAGTATTGAAATACAGTGTTGCAGAGGTCGAGTTCTGTAAAGCAAACCCGGATAATTCGTTACCGATACGATTTCAACCATTCGTGCGAATTAAGATGGTCCTTGTCGTGAAATTCCGCGACCGTCGTTGAAATCAGTTCGATAACAACAGTCGGCTGCGCTCTCCAAAAATACAGCATTTGCGTGGACTTCGCCGATCTCCAAGGCAATATGCAATTTAAATTAGAGCGGAAAAATAGGTAATCGGACGATATTTTGCGATCCGATTTGTCGGGCTCGCAGGTTACAGTGTTGAAGACCGTCAGGATTGCGTTAGAGGAGACGCGGCACACGGTGTGCAATGAAGGCCGATAGTGGAAGACGGGAAACTGGCATGTACAGTAGGCTGTGTTCAGGTACTCCAGTTTATTTGCCCATCTGAGAGGGCTTTAATCGCGTGATTTGTACTAGAGGCAGTTTGCGGTCTTTCTGATGAGCAGGTAACCCGCAGCCTCTGGTGGTGGCCCCGGCGGCTAAGTGTCCCTCCAAGGACACTTAGCAGGATCGTCGCACTGAACCCTAGCACCGCAAATATTTCCAGAAACTGCAAATATTATAACCCCTGAGCTTGGAGAGACCCATAACCTTGAGCTGTCCTACAATTTCTGCTTTTCCCGAAAAGTTTCACAAACATGGACAGGTCCTGCCATCTTGTAATTGACACAGCACATACACATACATCGCTTGTGTAAAACATATTATTAAACTGTTTGACACCTATGTGCAGAGCTTACTGTGTACTTCTAAATGTTTATGCAGCTGGACATTGGGTGAGCTAGCTTGCTCAAGGGTACAAAAAGACTGTTCCATCCATGAGGAGAGCTGACATTCTTCCATTTATGAGCCTTAACAACCACCCCACACTGCCCTGGGATTGAAGAATGAGAAGTTACTTAAAAGTTACTGTTTTCCCTAAAGAGACAGAAACCTATTTGTGACATTAGTGTCTTGTAATTTCCAGAGGTTTGTTGTATTTTCTAAGAAAATTCAATGGTAACAACCTGCTAGGAGATCCATGAACTGGATGTACAGTATGTTAGTTGCTGCCATGCTTCGTAATACATGAACATGAACAGGGCCTTGCGAATGTATTCAGACTCTTGCACAGCTTTAAAACTTGAAGTCCTGGCATTACATAACTTTGAAGTAGAAACGAGTATTAACACCACGTACTCCACTCATTCAAAGCAAAGTACATAATTCAATAATTAATAAAAAAGATAATACATAAAAATGTTAAATTCGTTATTGTGTAAGTATTCAAACCCTATGCCATTGGAGGCCTGTATTAATGTAGGTACAAAATTACCTTAATGAGACACAATCAGTGGAATGACCTCTATGTGCATTATTTCAGAATAAAAACACCTGTCTGTGAGGTTCCTTGGTCAGATAGTGTAATTCAAGCAAAGACTCAACCATGAACACTAAGGTGCTTTTAAAGGAGGTTAGAGATAGTCATTGAAAACACAGCTCTGGAGAAGGATAATATTGAAAAGATATGCAAGTTTCTGAATTTTCCTACGAGAACAATCTAATTAACCATTAAGAATTGGAAGGAAGATTGTACGGTACCACCCAGATGCTGGCTAGATCAGGATCTCCCTCCAAACCGAATAGCAGGCAAGGAGGTAACTGAGGCCAACAGCAAATTTGAAAGAGCTACAGAGTTCAATGGCTGAGAGGGGAGAAAGTGAGCATCAGTTAACGATATCCCAGTCACTCCAGAAATCTGGCTTTGAATGGCAAAGCCATCTCATATCCCACAAGTAGGTTGCTTCAGGGCATTTCTAATGCTGCAGACATTGTGGTGTGATGAGACAGAACTGGAACTTCTTGGTGTGATTGCACAGTGTTACATCTGACGCAGAACCAGCCCTGTCAGCACCAACCCTACAGTCAAGCGTGGTGGAGAGCATATTGCAATAGGACTGCTTCTCCTGAGCAGGACCCAGAAAGCTGGTTAGGAAAATGGACGGAGTAAAGAACAGGCAAATAGTAGAGGACACCCTGGTAAAAAAAAAAAAACCTCACCTTTCAAGGAGCCAGTGATCAAAAGCACAAGGCCAAAGCAACACTGGCGTGGCTTAAAAATAAGAAAGTGAATGTCTTTGAGTGTCCTTAACCTGAGGATCGGTGGAAAACCAGTGTCCACTGTCTGCCTTGTGTAATTCCTTTACAGCTCTGGGTGAGGCAGTACTGGGAGTCAGTTCAGACAATCTGGTCTGCTTGGAAACATTGTGGTTGAGTTGCCAAGTTGAATACTGCGGCCTGGCTATGAGTTTGTATGGAATGTAGCTGCATTATAGAGCTCATACGAAGAGTCAGATAATGCAGGTCAGTGAAGGTGCAGAATAAAGTGAACGAGAGAGAGAGAGCAGCAATCAGAGTTAAAGGATTTGTGCTGTCGAAAGTGTATGATGGCTCTGTAAAATTACTGATGGATTTGGAGTATCTCTGTTGTCTGTTGCCTTATTCATACCTTGAATGAAAGAGTTAGTTTATTCTGAAACTCTGTCGACTTGCTCATTCAAAAACTTCTAACTTTCCCTTATACATCCGGAAATATCAGCGTATCTATATTAATCTTAGTCTATTGATTATATTTTTAATAGATGTATTCACTAGGCATAGCAGTGGTAGCATAGCATTCATGTGTCTAGATAAGGTCTACAAACACAAGTTCTCAGTGTTAGCAGTGTGAGTGAAGTGACCATTAATAATCTTGCTTTTATTAGTACAGATGTTTTTCCTTTTTTTAGTTTCAGGCTTTTATCAGATGGTACAGAAGATGTCTCCTAATGCACGCAAACTTAGAGATCAGGACACCAATCCATGTATAGAGGTAAATACTGAAATGTGTAAGGAAAACAGAAAAAGTGTCCTTTGAATTGAATGAAGGTTTGAATTACAGTATATGGATTTCTGAATGAATGGGTCCCAAAATGTGATCTGATCTTCATCTTAGTCATACTAAATAAAGACAGTCTTATTTAACAAGCAACACACACAACATTGTATATTGCCATATCTTTATTGAACAAATAGTTTAAACAACCAAGATCATTGATTTTATTTATTTTAGGCGCCTCCATGCAGAAATCCATATAACAGATTTTCTCACAACTGTACAATATATAGTTGTCCTTTTAAAATGTGATTTTGTCTTATGTTTTATCCAAGGAAACTGATGGTTCTAGAAAATGTTTAGATGCAAATAACTACAATAGAGACATGTGTTCAGCTTATTTCCTAAGATACAAAAACTGCAGAAAGTTCTGGGTAAGTATTTCTGGTCTGTTTGAAATATACTTGCATGTCGTGTACTCTATGGTTTTTATATGTAGCGTTTTAATATTGACAGGAATACTCTGTATGTGTACATTTTGGTTATTTCCTAATGAGCAATTTCAGTTTTGTAGATTTATTTATATATCCATATATTACCAGTTGCAGCTGTTGTAAATTATCTTTATTCATAGTATACTTTCTTGATTGGTAATATAGTTATCGGTTATGACTGATCTTATGAGATTCAAAAAACAACTGTGATCAGCACTATCAGAATGCTATGGTTACTATTACAAGTAAAATGCTTTGTGGCATTATGATTTATCAGAGACTTGACCACAGTTTTCTCACCTGTTTCCCAGCACAACATAATGATTCAGAGGAGACGTGATGGAGTTAAACCTGACATGCCTGCTGCTGAAGAGAGACAGAAAATTTTAGAAGCCTTGGGGGGGAAACCATATTAATTTCTGGGTTTATTTTTTTTTTTTTAGTTTTCACAACTGGGTTCTGTGATGACACCAAATGCATTCATAGAGTGTGAGTCTATCAATTTTGCGTGCTACATGTGGCAGTTTGACTCTGGAGATATATAACAAACAATTATGATGTACCCATGTTATTTTGCCAATAATGGCTCTAAAAAATGGCAGTGTGCCCTTCACTGTACATTTGCGAGACTTCTTCAGGATTCTACAACTGACAATAAATAACTGAGGGCAATTAAAAGACCTTATTGAAATAAAGACTTTTTTAATAAATGCAAAAGTGTATATCAATGAGCAGGCATTAATAGAGATATGGGTGACCTTTTTGCAGGTGTAACAGCAGAGCGGGGAGATCTGTCTAAATAAAATTGCTAATGTAGCATGCACTTACAAGACCAAACTCCCAGTTCTTCTTACAGGTGAGGTTGCAGAAGAATACTAAATTAAAGGAATGTACTTGTGGCAATCAGATTCTTAGGGATAGTAAAATGGTAAACCACAACCATGCTAACATCCATTCATTATTTTACCTCATATTATTATGAGGTCGCGGTTGAGAAGGAGTCTTTTCCAGCAAGGCAGGATACACTCTGGACAGGACGCCAGTCCATTGCAGGGTACACACACATAGACACACGCTCTCACACCAGGCCCAGTTTTTCTCCAGCGGACATGGGGAGAACATCTAAACTCCATGTGAATAGTACAGTATCCCAAGAATTGAACCCGGGGCCCCAGCGTTGTTAACCATTGCTCCCCTGTGGCACCATAAAATGATAACAGAAAGTAAAAAAAAAATATTTAACACTGAGCTTGAAGCCAGTAAGGCTAGTTAGGAGAAAAATGTAGATGTTTCTGTTGTCACATTATTTTCAATAGAAATAATATGTATACATAAACGCATGTATGTATTTAGATACTGTAGGAAATCTAGACACTGTAAGCAGACAATATTGGATGGAACGTAAGCTTATGTAGTTAAAAATGCAGAACTGAAATCAAAGAATGCTTTGTTAAAACTGTACAGTACGCTAGTAAGATCACTTTTATAAATAATATGTTCACCATAATAAAAATATTGCTGCTCTGGGTCCACATAAGAGTCGTGATAACACACAAAAAACAGGAATGGTCTTAATTTGAGTCTTGGGAATCCTCAAAGGCATGGACACAGCTAGTGGATTTCAATCAGAAAGAAGAGTGAAACACCAACCAGACAACACGGGTTGAAACTACAGGGAAGTGCATATAAAAGTGAGAACAGGCGGCACTTACTGTAAGTACACAGAGGGTTGTGGGAGCGTGGAACACGCACCTCAGCCATGTTGTTGAAAGTGATGACCTACAGTAGGTTCTTTGAAGAAAAGGCTGGATAAGATTTTCATACCAGTTAACCATGACTACTGAACCACAGTTGTTAGACCTATCTTCTTGTACTAATTGATCACTGCATTGATTTAGTGGTTAACAAAATTTCAATACTAAAATATGGTGGTTAGGACTCTTATCAGAGTTGTTGAAGCTGGTATCCAGACTACTTTTAAGAAATGGATGAATAATAATTGCTTACACTTCTATAGTGCTTTTCTGGACACCCCACTCAAAGTGCTTTACAGGTAATGGGGACTCTCCTCCACCCCCACCAATGTGCAGCTTCCACCTGGATGAATTAACAATTAGAGCAGATAGGCTAAATTGTCTGCTATTTGTAATTTCTTGAAATTGCAATTGTTGTGGGTTCAAATCCTGGGTGAGACACTGCCTTTGTACCGTTGGGCAAGAAACGTCAATCAGAATATTCCATTTAAACACAGCTGCATGCTGTAGATGAGTACCCTCACCCAGATTGCCAAACAACCAAAAATTTGTTTTCACGTCACTTGTCTAGTTAACTTAAGGTTTAAAAAAAACAGCAAATGTGCAATTCTGTAATGCAGAGGAAAGTATAAGAGTGATCAGAACAACACTAGCAAAAGATATGACCTGTAAAAACCTGTAGGGAAAAAATGAATCATTCTGACTTGGAATTAAAAACACTTGGGAAATCTGAGTGACTTATTCAAGATCCTGAGAATGACAGACACATGCAACCCCAACCCACTTCATCATACTTGGTATGAGAACCTGCCACTGGGCATCCATAATGTAATCAGAAGTGGAGATAGAAATAAGAACAACCATTTCTTTTTAATCCCATCGCTTTTATGGGTCAGAAACATGCTATCATATCAGTGCAGAAGCTGAATCACCTGGGTCCTTCAGGAAAATGGCTTTGGGCTCGCAGAACAATACCAAGTGGATGAAGCAAATGATAAGTTGCACACTGTTGTTCTAAACCCTTCCTGTGCTCTTACTTTGAATACATTGCCTTGATAGCATGATTTAATTAATCCCTTTAAATCATACCTGATATTCATAGTTACAGAAATGTTAAATTAAAATTGTGAATAACATACCCACATTCCACATACGAGTCCACCCTGCAGAAAAGGGTGAGGGACAGCTATAGCACGTTGTATGGAGTGCAATTCAAATGTAATCAAATTCATGCCTAATTCAGGGCGATTCGTGCTGCTTGTGGAGCATGTATCCAGTGCTGTTCGGTTCACTTCAGGGTGTTACAGTTTACTTCTGTGAAGAATGAGCCCATCCAGGGTCATTTAAATATATTTTACTTATTGACATACAATTCAGTAAAAAAATCTTCTTTATTGCAAACTCTTACATTTGTCTTGCAAATTAGCATTACCAATCTGGATTACCACAATTCATGTTTCCAACACCCCTTACGGTTTTGCCACTGGTCGTGACTACATATCAAAAACTTTTCAAAAACAACCTGAACAGCACCCTTGAGGCAAAGGGTGTTTTACACACTTTCAGGAACACAACAGGGCCTTTGCATGTTTTCAAAAACCATAGATCACTTGCAGGTTTATTTGCTGTCATTGGTAATTATTACATTCTTTATTATTTAACAATAGAACATTTTCACTCACTAATGATTATTGAGCTTCTGAAGTCATACATTAGCCATGAATGCTTACAGCAAATTGATGATTGAAACTTTCTGTTGTGTGCCTTTTATGATATGCCTTTTTGTGGACACATTTCTTATTGTTCTTATTTACAGACGATAGGTACAAGTATCTATCTTGATACTACACACACTCTTAATATCCAAGCAGGAATTCTGTTGAGAATTTGAAAAGACAAACTTGGACATGAAATTCACCTGAGTTCTTTCAAGTGAATTCCCTTGCATTCACATTGGACGACTGGCTTGGCCCTTGATAACATGTTAGGTAAACATGCACACCACCAAAGATTTAAAAGCAGAAACACAACAACAAGCTTATCTATTTCACCTGAAATTGTTCAGGTTTAATGGACGGTGGAGTCTGATTGCATGTTTGGAGAATGTCACTGAATATTGACCAAGGAACAAGACGTGCTCAAAATGTTTTCAAACAGGACATGGGTTTCTAGTGTTTAAAGATATTTTACAAACTGCTTTGATGTACAGTATGTTATTTTAGTACAATATTATAACTATGTGTGATTAATTTTCTAACCAAGTCAGGGTTCGAGCCTATCCCTGCAAGCACCGGGCACAACGCAGGGTACACGATAGACGGGACGCCAGACTTGAAAACCGTAGTTTTACGCTGAGGTTCGTAAAGCACAGTGTACTGTATATTCAGAAGATCTCAAAAAGAACAGGTACACACAATTTTCACATATTCTAAGTTCACCTCCTATTGGTAGCTTGCCATTATAGAGACCTCATAATCTACCGTCAAGTGACATCTTTGGAAATTATTGTTTTCGGGTGGACTGACTTGTTTGAGTTTGGTCATTACAAACGAATTAGTAAGACTACGCATAATAACATGTAAAATACGTTTCGTCTTTTGTGAACACTAGATGGAGCTGTTACCTCGTGAAATTGAATGTTTGCAATGGTACATTTTGAAGTACCAACGGAACACGCAATTTAATATAACCAATTGATTTTAAGATCATTTTAATTCCCTTTTAGCAACTAAGTGTTTAGGATTTGTAAGTAAGAGATGGTAAAGCTCTAACAATTACGTGCTGTTTATTGGTTTGGAAATTGATGTATTTCCCCCTAGACAGTACCATTATTTGGAATTATTTGTCCTGTTTATAATATTTTAAGATTCTTTTTTTAAATAATCTTGTGTTGATTTTTAACTTTTTTTTGTGTTAACTTTTAAAAGTTTTATACAATAATTGAAAAAAAACATAGTATTGCATGTATAAGGCGTTCAGTTATATTAAAAAAATGACATCAAAATGTTTCTAATATTTTTAACTGATCGCCATTATTCAAAATATAATTATACACTGACAAGTGTAGCTACAAATTAAAGCAAATATTTTACAAGCATGGATCAAATGTTACTCTGAGCAGACAGATCAACTACTGAGAAGTAAAACATTTTAAAAAGAATAACAATATGTTAAAAGGCCTCTCTAAAATCCTAGAGTAAACAAGCAAGAATAGAATGTTGTGGCTGTATAACTTGAAAACCTGAACAAGGAACCTGAACAGTAGTCAATTTTTCAAGGTGCACACCTGTTTTAAAGAAAACTCTCAAAACCAAGAACCAACATACTGGCAAAAATTAGATTAATGTATTTCTGGACCAAGCATAAACATTCAAAAGGAAATTTCCAAAATTCAAATTTAAATTTCCTTGTCTAGCAGCTTAAAGGACCTACTTTGAAGGACTGCAGATGTTCCCAGAATTGAAGGAAACATGCCCATTCAAGAGCCTACACATTGGAATGATTAGATATTTAAACGCCACTTCACATTTTAACATAACACCAATTTGAATCACACAGAGAAATAACAAAAATGATCTCTAAACAGTAAAAAGATCAATGTTGTGGGATTGACCTAAATCTTAATAATCCTGTTATGTTGTGAGTGGTTATGGGGGAGTGAAATATATTTTTTCTTGAAATTTAAAATGAGATTAAAACTTAGACTTCTAATCTTTGTTCCTTAGATTACATATATTAAAAGGTAATTGTAAAATCCTTGTAAAATGTGTATTTGTGGCTGTATAGTGAATTAGCATCAGTAGTTTATAGAACTTGCATGCAGTTATATTTTATAAGCTTAAAAGAGAGCAGTGCCCTAATGTTAATTAGTGTATTTTTGTTGTCTTGCACAGAACTATAAAATACAGTGTACTGTATTATAATATACAGTCTTATTATAAAAAGTATGGTTTCAT